AGCCATGGCCAAACACCTGGTGATTGCTAGAGACTCCACGGGTAGAAAACCAACCAACAGAAAGATTTTGTTTACCCTGGATGACCTGGGGAGGTGGGATGGAGGAGGAGAGATGGGAATTAGAGGAAATCCTTCTTCCTTGGCCTTGAAGATAGGGCGGAATATTAGCTCTGAGGAAGAACTGTCCCAGTTTGTCCCATGAGCATGTTAACTCTGGTGAGAAGTTACAAGGCGTGAACCACTTTTGCCCATCGATCCAAGCTTCTCTGGCATTATGGCCAGAATTTGTGTGGAAGGGTGAAGTTTGAGCGAGCAACTGTGCAGCTTAACTCTTCTTAGTCTTCCCACCGTGATACATGATGAGAAATAAACAGGTTTTATAGAAAGTGTTCTAAAATAACCAACCTGCATACATTTACCACATGCTTTAAAACGCATGCTTTCCCAGGACCAGAGTGATTATGACAAAAGCAAAAAGAAAGTTTTTTCTTCCCTCCTTTCCCACACCAAGGCTGCTCACACGCATCCCCTTGCCTAGTTCAGCTTGCTGTACAATAGCCAAGCTAGCTGTCTAGCCGGTGTAATGCCCTGGCACGGTCTCAATAGTCTTTGCTGTAATGCAGTGTATACATACAAACATAGCAAACTAAAATAAGGCAAAATAAATAGAGGTGTCAGATTTACAGGTTCCCCTTAGAGATTCCTAAACCCCTTTTTTTAAAAATCATTTAACCCCCAAACAAACAAACAAACAAAAAAACCCCAAAACAACCAACCCAGAAACGAAACTGCATATATCATGTACATCATCAACTGTACAATTGATCTCCTTTCCCCTCACGGAAACTCCTGACACAAACTTCTCCCATGCAACCCAACTCAGAGTGTGAGCTTTCCTAAAGAAGAGGAAAGATTCAGCCAGTGGGGCTGACCATTATGGAAACACCTGCCCCACAGTCTCCCACCAGGGCCCCTTGCGATTCCTTTCCCTTCCTCAGACATTGTGAACACATTACAGAAATGCTTCTGAAGGATGCCCAGGTTGTCTCCTTAGTGGGGAGTCTCTCACCCCTAAACACTAGTCCTACTTCTGCTCTTGTAGGGAACCGGCGCCCAGACGATAGCTGTGCCGCAGGGCATGGAAGAGCCTTGCTGCCCTGAAGTCACTTTACCTTGTAGCATTTCCAGAGACTTATGACCAACTGAGAAAAGTGACCCAGACCAAAGGGAGTAGGAGAGGGGGAGAGTTCTTCAGTCTTTTCTGGGGTCATCCTAATGCAACCTGCTTAAGAACAACGAAGACACAGAGGTGAGTGAGTGAGCACTAGACCTCTAGGGACAAGGTCTGCAGAGTTAGAAAGTACCTCCTCTTCTAGGTGTGAAGAACTTAATCATAAAGTTAGCAATGACTACATTTCTGCAGGAAGGAGAACAAGCCCTCGATTACACCCTTCTTTTTGACATCTCCTCCTCCTCCACTTATTTCCAAAGACAAGGTGATTTCACTTAAAATGCAGGTGCTAGGCACAGGTGCAAGGACAACAGCAAACCCTAGCTCTTCTCCAGCTCTCAGTGCGATAAAGAGGTTATGCCTCAATGTTATACCTCACGACTGCTCAGCTCTGCTAGCACTAGAAGTTAAGGAATAGGATTTTCCCTTCTCCTTCAGCGCTCAGCAACTCTACCACAACAGCTGATGAAGAACAGAGCATAGATGCACCCACAATACCCAAGAGATTACAAACAAGGACAAACTTGGCTTCAGCAAGAATCTGATGCTAGAGCAGAGCCAACTTTTTTCCTTATCTTCTGTGTGGCCAACCTCATCTGATACAGTAGACCTATTAATGGGCCTCTCCGCTTGTCACCACTTATATGAAATCACTGCTTGCCTGAGTGTGTAACTGAGCTTTTCCAAAACCCTCTTTATGAACATTCACCATGGAGTGAAGAGCCAGGGGGGACTGTCCAGCATGTTGAGCAAAGCCTTCAGCCACCATCACAGATTCAAAACAAGAGTTTGAGGCACTGGAGTGCTGAGAAAGTTGAGCTGCAGTGAATCAGAGGCACGACTCCAAGCTTTCTGTCACTCCCAGTCAGTATCCCACAGATGATTTACAGGAGTTGCACAATCTCTTTTTATTTGTGAATAAGTCAAAGAGGTGGCAAAACTACAGCAGCTTTCTTTGACTCTGTCAGTGTGGCCGGAGCGCCGCGTACCATCGTATAGGATCTCTTTAAGTCGGGGTTGAACTGTGTACACAAATGGACAGAGGGCTTATCACTCTCTCTGCTTTTGCTACATTTGTGGCCTGGCAAAGTGACTTCAGTTTCAAAAAGCACAGCACAAACCTGTTTTGACAAACATCGGGGCGGGGGGAATGCTGTATTTATATTCAAGGGTTTTGCCCTGAGGTGTTTCTTCTCTGACAGCACTGCCATGCTGACAGTCTGCCTTATCAAACAAGTACCTAGGGAGCAAGCAAGCAGCTGTAAATTGGACAGAGCCATGTGTCACATCGTCTTGCACCAGGGCTAACCTTGGCACTACACCTGAATTTCTGGGTGAGTCCTAAACCCAGGGAAAACAAAGAGGGGAAAAAACCTACAATGTTCTAATCCCTAAAAGCATCATTTTTGGAATTCAGGGATTATCCAAATCTAAACTCAGCTGTATACCAATTTGGCACATACTACCACCTCTCATATGGCTTACATGGCATAGGTTATATGGCATGCTTTAAAACAAGACAAACAAAAAGGGCTGGGATATAGCACGTCTACTTCAGGGAGCAGCAAGGAGCTTGTTAATATAATTTACAAGAGACATTTCTAAAAATCCATTTTGTAATTTAAAATAAAAATGCTTAAAAAAGTGAGAGTTTTTCTTAAACTTTCAAAAACCTTTATGAAATACAGTCTTTGTTCTACAAGGTGCTTGTGTCCACTGCAATGAGTATTGCTGTTAATAGCTAATCCCAGAAAGGGAGTGGGATAGTAAGGGAGGAGAATGCACCCAGCTCTTGTAAGATACCAGCTCTTTACGATGAGTATTATACAGAGGCGCGGCAGTCTGGAATGTCGTAAATAGGGAAATACTGGGGTGGGAGACTCAAAATTCAGTAAACAACGAAACATTAGAGTTTAACAATTCCGACTTTTTTGCTTCTTTCCACAGTTTACATAATTATTTTACTCTCAAAGTGTTCAGAAAACCGCAACAGTTTGCTTCTCCAATATCGGTAGTGTGTAATACTGATCAGGCAGCGTGCATGGCAGAGGAAGTTCTGTTCTGCAGACTCAGTGCAGAGCCTGAGGTTAAGTGACATTCAGAGAAAAATCAGACCAAATTATTAAAGTGACAAACAGAGCTTTTTTTACTTCCCTGGGATTCCTTGACATTTTGTGCTGTTGACTATTGATGCATAGTTTATAGATGGTGGGTCCCTCTTCTCAAATGTTCTCTCTTTTCTTCCTGTCTAGAAGGAAGAATCCATCACCATTTCTTTCTTTTCCTCTTTTCCTTCTCCAGGGAAGATATTCAAAAAGGAAGACAAGATTAAAAAAAAAAAAAAAGCCCATGACAGCCCACACAATCCAATCCCTTTCCTAGAGCCATGAAGACACACAGAATTCAGGCCTCTTCTTGGGGTTCTTTGCTTTTTTGCTGTGTGCTTCATACATGTAGCTTAAATACAAATTTTTTTTTTCTTAAGAATTAACCCATCTCCAAAGCCTGCTCAGCTTACATAATTCTGTGTCCTCCTGGAAAAATTCTCAGTTTTCATTATGGGACCCTCTGTTGGTTCATCCCAAGTGATCCCTTCAAAATGAAAAAGGCTCCAAGGCTCTCCTTCACCACCATTCATATCTTACTGAGTTACATGATTCCCCTAGGTAGGAGTGGATGTGTGCGGTGAAGGGCAGCATGTTAGGCAGAAAGACCAGTTCATGCCAACAGCAATCACAGCTAGCATCAAGTGGAAAAGAAATGTAATTTCTCGCAGCCAGTGACCCTGTTTGCTTTTTGCTACTTGTGACTTGTGGATGATATTAGGGAGCTCCCGATTTCCATTGGGCTGCACTAAGAAATCTTGCAAAAACAGGTAAGAAATGTTCTGCTGTTTCCCTCCCACCCTCCAGCAATGACAACAGGCTCCACAGTCATCTACTTAAAATCCCAACCTGGCAGTGGCTTAGTTTTCTAAAGAAAAGCCAGAGCTTCTTTCCTAGAAGACGCATTTCATAGCTTTGAGGCTCAACCACCAGCAAATTCCAGAAAACTGCTTCTAGAAAAGCAGAATCCAAAAGACTCTTGCAAAGTATCTTATGTTGATCGTGATTCTTGAATTTCAATTTGTTCCAGAACCTGATGCTTCCGTCTCAGCATCACTTGCTTCGGACAGTATAGGCCACACAAAAATACTATACAGAACATGAGATCAAAAATATTTTTCAGGTGCTAATCGATGGCTTATAAAATCCAATTCTGGAAGGGAATTGGAAACCTCGAGAACCACATCTTGACAAGCCCCTGAAGGCCAGTCTAGATCTTGAAGAAGCGACAGGTGTTTACAGAGCTGCTCTGAAATTAGTCTTACTTATTACCAGCGAGATAGAGATAGTGACTAGTTTTTACTTTGGCACACAGAAAATTATCTTTCTCCAGCTGTGAGGCAGTCTCAAGGACCAAGTACTTTCTGTCATCACCATGAGGCCTTTGATGACACAATAAACTCCCAGAAGCAAATCTGTCAGCTCTGCATGGCCCAGTCACAGGCCCTGCTGGCTCCACAGAGGCACTTTTATAATGGTTCAAATTAGGAGCACAGAAGAGGGATGAGAGGAAAGCTGATCATGGAAAGGTAACGTCTCTAGCCACAGACCAAAGAAATCCTCTGGGGCAGCTGTCAGCCAGGCGCCATCACACACATTCATCTTCCTTGTTTTGCACTTTTTCATCACCTTCTTTTGGTTGATTATTTTTCTTCCTCTTGTAATTAATAATTTAGCTTTGTCACCACCCGCTCCCGGCTTGTCTCTAAGCCTTGGTTCCCCGAACGCTTGCGGTTACGCTTGAGCTTGGATAAGTCTTTGTCAAAGACTTCACCCGACCTTAATGCTGACACGAGGTCATCAAACTCCCCACTCTCTTCGGAGATGCTTCCAGCTTTTGCTTTCTTTTGTCGCCTCTCTTTTTCCCTCTGCTCTTTTAGCTGTGGAGAAAGACACAGAGCTTTAGGATTAGCTAACTGAGATGCCAGATCACTAGTACACTGCCAAGAAGCAGCTAAGATGCATCAGTACAGTTCAGGGAAAAAAGAGATCAGGAGCTTATCCACAACGCCATTACCTGTGCAAGAGCAATAGGTGACCATGCTAGGCTTCCCTTCTTCTGCACAGGCAAGCAGAGAGCAGGAGAGATGAGGAACGAGTAGTATTATATGTTTGCCTCACAAAGCACTACTACCCTGGAGCAAAGAGGACACATGGGATCTGTCTATGCTGCTGCTGTTTTGCACTAATTTTACAGTAGGATAGTGCCAGCAAAGTAGCTATGCCAAATGAGTCTACAAGTGATGTTGGCATAGGTAATTTCCCAGCTTCTGGGACAGGCTTGCAGTGACCTTAGTGTGGCAGCACTTACTATGCTGACAGTACCTAACCTAGTGAGTTTAAAGTTAGTTTGGATATGTCTGTACAAACCAGTCACTACTATAGCCACAAACAGCTTTGTGCTTGGGACATAGCTAGCTAAATTGACAGGCAGAAAGGCTGCAGTCCTGCAGAATGAGGAAAAGAAGAAAGGAAAAACCCCAGAAAACCACAAGGCTAAACATACTGGAGAATGAAAATTGTGTGAGATATCAAAACATCAACAGAAACTATCCACAAACAGCTCATGTTTGCACAGAGGCAGCATGTTGCAGTGATGGGAAGAGGAAGGCACATTGCCTCAACTCTGGAAAGAGAAACTGGTTATAAACACAAAGAGCAATGAAACAGAACTGCGGATTTTACAAATCATCGGATAGGTCCACCTGTCAATGTGACGCCCTCGGTCTCCCTAGGGTAGCTCCAGGGAGCTCAGTTATCCCCCCTACTGCTCAGCTCCAAGATTAGTGGAAATGACAAGGGATGGATGCGGCTGTCAAGAAGCAGGTCACTTACCCTGTACACTAGCCCCACGTTGCAGGAGGACTCTTTCCATAAGCAAACTGCAACCTCTCTCATGATGTACTAGGCCTACAAAACCATCCTAGTGCTTTAACAGCAGACTCCTGCACTTTCCAGGCTGGCTGAGAGGAAACTTGATCTTAAGTCCTGGCATTTTATCCCTGTGTCCAACAGTAAGGCTGCAGGCATCCTGACATTTTACCTCTCTCTTCTTCTGAAAGGCACAAACCAGTGCTTTTGGCACAGCGAACATTTAAACCAGCAACTCCCCACAGCAAAGTCTGAGGCCATGGTGGCAGCCGGGGCTAGAGCGCCAGCAGGGGAGAAGGAGGCGGGGCACTGCTGAGCCTTTCTCAGGGCTCAGGAAAGGCTGAGGTTAGAGGGGGAGGCTGGTTCACACGAACCCCTGGGGACACACACGTCTGTCTCCCAGCAGCAAAATCAACGATGCCAAAAAGCTCTCTCACCACGTCAAGGCCAGACGTGGCCTCAGTAATCAAGGCATTAAGGCTGGCCAGAGAGAAACACTGCCAGTGCGGGCTGCAGCAGGTGCCAGGGCATTTGCTGTGTCACCGTACGCTGTCAGGCGACAGGCACGCAGCAGATGATGACAGGGTCTAACTGGAAGCTGACCAGCTGGCAGGACCGAGGGAGATCCAGCTCCCAGAGCTTTTGCACAGAGCCTGCAGCCCGAGAGCAGGACAGTCTGTCACTGGGCAGGGGCAGCACCACCCTGCAAAATGCCGGGACAGAACAGGCAGGGATAGATTTGGTATCTGAATCCAAAAGAGGGTAATTTAGGAGCCAAACAGTATGCCCTTGAGAGGTGACAGGACAGCCAGCAGGAAAAATGTAATCGTTTGTGAAGAGAATGATGCCAAAGAGAGGTGGCAGAGAGAAGGACGTAAAACAACGACAGTGACAGGACATGAGCATTGGAATTGGCTCTCTCAACCTCTCTCTCTTGAGACATGAAAAGGCGATGAGAGGAAACACCTTCTTGTGCCCAGGTCCTCACCATGGCCTCCATGCGTGCCCTGCGCTCCTCTTCTTCCTTTTTCTTCCTCATATTCTCCAGATCTTGCTTGGCCTCTGCAAATGACTGTAAGAAAGTGTCGAAGATGCCAAAAAATTCATCTGGCTGCATCTTGCCCTCGCTTTCTCCAAAATGCTTCAGTGCCTTGGCATACTGTCAAGGGGGCAGAAAACACAAGAGCAATAATTAGGCAGGCAGTTTGGTGAAGACAGTGAGGAAAGCTTATGAGTAACCACACGTGTAATTCAATACCCTCTGAGCATTCATGCAGCAAGAGCAGAAACTACCCCCTGGCAACAGAATTGCCTCTCCTTAAGGCAGGTGCCTCTGTCCCTGAAGAATCTGTTTTCCTGAATATCCTTCGGGCACACGGGGCAATGGTGCTGGAGAGCACTAGCTGTCCATTTATAAAAAAAAAACATGTTCAGTGCCTGAGGGTGATGGAGTAATTTCAGAGGACGACTGTCTGGCCACTTCTCAGCGGCAGCTGTGGGACAGCAGGGGCACAGAGGACAGTGAGCTAGCTGGGGAAGCAAGTAGTCTTAGTACATCCTAACTACCAAACAAGTAGTTTTAGCCCATTCTTTCCCCTTCCACCTTCCCCTCAAATCCACGTTTAAAATGGCTGGAGTTAGAGGGGGTTTTTTGCAATAACGTTACAGTCTGTCCTCTCAGGAGCCTTTTGCCATGTCATCCATCATTCTGGAGTCCTCTGAGTCAGGGTGTTGCCTGGGAGAGAGGCGACTATGGACAGACATGGCATGAAAGAGGGACAAGGAAAGCAGCCAGGGCTCCCGGGCAGACTTAAAAGAGAGTGAATACATCACAAGTGGCTTTTATTTTAAAAGGCAAATGTTGAGACTGCAGGACACATGTGGAGGCAGCCAACTGGCAGGACTTCAGTCACAGGGCAGTCCTGATTGGGATATGGTAAATTCACAGCAACCCCTGGCTCTTGGACATCAGTCCTGCAGTAGTTGTCCTTGCTCTCTTCCTTGCTCTCTCACACTCACAAACACGCCTCTGTACTCACCAAAATGCACTCAAATGCATGCACATATAGTCTGTCAACAGCATGTGCACACATGTCCACTAAGTCCTATATAAGTACGCATCCAAAAGCTGTATCATTGTCCAACCACCTTCACTCACAAACCTCTGTACCACAGCAGGCAGCACCAGCAACACATTCCTGACGGCACTAGTGCCCTGATGCACATTCCCTGCTTGCACAGGCATTTCCACACCGCCACTGAGCAGCAGAGCATCCTTACAGACCTCAACATTTGCCAAACCAAACCCAGACTCTCCCAGGCTATGGACTGCCTTCAGACTCTCTTGCGCATATATTCAGCTCATACTAACACAGCCCAGCTTCCTTTTCCTTAGGTGGGTGCTCTTGCAGAATGGAAAAGAGAGTAAGAACAGTTCAGGCTCCAATCCCAAGGACAAAATGGGTTTGGAAGCAGGTCTTATAAACCCCTCTGGCCCTGTACCAGGTAAAGCATAAACAATGTCTCCCAGTCAACTGCAGGGGGGAGAAATCACCAAGGAAAGCAGCTTCCTTCTGGCACAGCCTGAAACATTCGGCATCTCTCATCCTCTGCTTTCCCTGCCAGGCCCACAAAGCAGTTTGAAGCAATAGCTTCTTTTTTCTTTAAAAAGGCTGTGTTCTCAGCCAGAAACAAACAAAGAAACCCAAAGTATCTGGAAAAAAAAAAAGTGTTGGAAGAAATGCAAGTTGCTTTGAGCTACCAAACATGGCAGGAGTTGAAGGAAGCACTACAGCAGAAAATCATGGAGGGACTTCAGGGTATGGAAACAGCAACAGATTACTTCTCTGTTTTAACTCCTTTTCTCTGAAACCTCTGAAGACACATACACACGTATGCACACCTTCTCCTTCTCCCCCCCTCTCTGTATATATGTATTTGCTCTGTATATAATATATGCATAATCTGTTTGAATATTAGGAAAGTGCAGCAGTCTCACAGTAATCCACACTGACCAGCACCAGCTCTTCAGCAGAGCGAATACAGGGCTGTCAATACCGCAGAGGGAGATAATGCATCTCCATGTGCTATATTTTCTTGGTTTGCCTGCTCCAGCGTGCCAATCCACCAGAAGAGAAGGAATGCCAGAGAAAGACTTCAGCACAGGCGTTGCCACCTTTGCTTGAACACATAGAGCACCTAAAGCTCATTGCTCACAGGAGATGTGCTACCTGGAATCTCTTCCCACTTAACTTGTGGTTAACTTCTGTGAAAACTGAAAATAAGGCACAAATTAAGAGCAGTGTCTAGAGCTGCCAGCTAGAAGGAAGGCTTGTCCACCTCCTGTGAAGCCTGAAGTCCAGGGGCAGCCCATAGGAGATGGCTGTTGTACCTAGTGATGTACCGCCTCCGTCCCCTGCATTCCTCCTGTGCACAGCAAAGGTGAGTGAGGGAGTACACAGGAACCGAGCTGGTTTGAGCCCATGAATGCCCATAAGGGTTTCCTAGTCTTTTAGGGAGGCTGGGGGTTGAAAAGGAGGGGGTCCTTGCCTGGGGCTCTTGGATTCTACATACATGGAAGTCTCCATTAGAGGGTGCAAATGTTCTGCACATGGCCTGTCACCTAACTACCAGCACCAGCTAGTTCTTGTCACACTGGCAGAGGGGCATTTGCCACTGCCTCCCCACTGCCACTCAGAGAAGGAACTGTGTTGCTATGCTGGGAAGACCCAGCAGCCTGGGAGCCTTCCAGAGACACTCATGAATATAAGGTGTTGTGGTCTCTAAGTAGCAGCAAGGAAGACAAATCCTGAGAACAGCCCGTCTTTGGTGCCCCGTAACATGGCTTAGCAGGTCACAATCACTTAGTGTAAAGCAGTGAAAGATGAAAAGCAAAAATCTGTGAGCTAGATGTACCAAAATAACAAAGGAGAAGTCTGCAGTTCACTGAAGTAAACATTTTCCTTCTTTCTCTACTCGCTCTGGAAAAAAGCTGACTGAGCGGATGAAGGCAAGTCAGGAGATCCAGCCTCCGCTGCCAACTCTGCCCATGATGTGGCTTGGGAACTCATGCTCCCTCTCCGAGCCTTCCTTTCTCCATTCGTTACAGAACATAAAGTGTTGCCCCACTAATCTGATATAGGAAATGGCAAAAAATCAGTTGTTCACATCTGTAGGGCACTATATCAATTCAATGCACTATTGTAAAGAGAGCCACGCTGTCTTTTCACTGTTTAAAACTGCAACAGACCCCTTTGTTTTTATTACTACTTCTATTTCCCCGTAGCTCTGGTTCCACAGTCACCTATGCTTTTTCAAAGCACTGGTGCTGGGATGAGGGGCAGCGAGCTGCTGGAGGCAGCCTCCCCAACCCTGATGTGAAGCTCAGGCTCCTACCTGCCCACAGTGGCTAAAACCACACTGCCTGCCTCGCTCAAGGCATAAGAGGGAGCGTGGCGCAGACCGAGGCGCTCTGGACCCCAGCCCTCTCTTCTGCTCTCCACCGCAGGATTTGTGTCACCCTGTACAAATCACTCGACTGCTCCATGGGCAGATTCCCTGCCAAACAGTACCTGCTCTCGTGCACAATTGTGAAATCTGTAGCTAAGTCCTCATGCATGCAAAAAGCTTCCCAGAATTTTGTGATGTGCTGTAATATCGCAGAACAAGGGCTGAAACTTGCTTATTCCTGAAGTCATTTGGGGACAGATGACATGGGCAAAAGCAAGATGGAAAACGGTGTTTCAGCAGGTTTTCCACTGTAATACAGGATGGTATCTCTTTTTTTCATTAAAAAATTCATTTTCACGCCATAAGGGCCCCCAAGCTCCATGATATAACAGGTCCACGAGCTCAGTGCCAGCTCTGCTTCCTCTGCCAAACTTTCCACTGAATTCATCCTCTTGCCAAAGCAAATCGTTTAGACAGTTGTTTATTTTAAAAAGCCATTTTAGCAAAGAGAGGGAAAGCGGGACAGCAGCACACACACTCTCTGCTGTGCTTGCCAATGAAATGTTAAACAGTGGCAGAAGAGCTCTGGAAACGGCAGGAACAGGGCTCTATGAGGAGGAGGAAAAACAGCCATGATAAAAATTTCCTGCTGTCTGTGCTGTCTGCTATTGCGGGAGCAGCCAATGCACAAATGAGTTATACCATGTAGCCATGCAACATGAACTGTCTTCCCCAGAGAAGTAATCTTGAGTTTGCTGTTATGAAGACTCCAATCCTTTACCAAGGCAGTTCAAATAAATGTCTGTTCTCTTTATGGGACAGATTCAGATCAATTAATGGAAAGAGCCCAGCCAATTTCAGGCAGGGCTGGGCCCAGCTCTCCTTGCGCTTAAATGCTCTTAAAGGATTCTCCCAGGAGTTCGACAGCGACTCTGGCAGCCCCAAAATCGAGATACAGGTGCTATAAACATTTCTGATACGTTAGATGCCAACCTGCCCTGAAGCATCTGCAGTTCTAAGTTACTGTACAATAGCTACATAATTTATTTACCAAATGGCTGTTTCTGACAGCAGGCTGTGGTGCCTGCTCATGCCCTTTGTAACGCGCCTCGTCTTGACTTCCTCAGTCTCCATCCTGATCCGTTCCTTAGTCATTAGCCCCAGTGGCTGACAGAAAATACGGGTCCCCGCAGATGAATGACTGAAGTGCACAGCCTGTAACTGGCACTTGGACTACAGTACTTCTGTGTGCTTCACAGCATTCTGCCATTAATGACTATTTTCTTAATTGGATTTTGGCTTTTACTGCCTTGCTGTTCTTCAAAACAGTTACTATATGTGCTAAGCTTATTAAATGCATGTGCAGAGTCTGAACTCCTTTCTCCATGATGATGAACACCCTGCTTGAGAGGAGCTGTCATAAGGAAGACTGGGCATGGACACTTTTCCTATCCTCCTCATTAGCCTTGCCCAGGCAGTGGCCTCCATTGTACCTCTATAGAGAGGCTCAAGTTTGATATTCATCACAGACATGACTAAGCAGACTTTGTTCTTCTAGGAAGATCCAAAACATTTTAAAAACAGGTTTGTTATGAACCAAGCACAAAGTAGAACAGTTATGAAGCAGTCTAGCGATCTAAGTTCATACCTGTCAACATTTAAGTATGTTGTAAAGCTTCATATAGGGCAAATGTCACCTTTTTCAAGTAGGAAAATAAAATTCATACCATGGGAGGTCACTGTTTCTCTGCCTGGGCATTTTCATTGCTTCCCCACAGGAAACACAGGGAAAAATTTTCACAGACAAAATTCAACCCCATTCTGTTCTTTCTGATGTAAAAAGGTCAATTTTTCATCTGTTCAAACATGCAAAAACTAGTGAAGGATTCCAGGGCACAATTTCACTTTCTCCTGCCCCCACCTTCCAGTTTATGGGAAATGGCAGAAAACATTATCCCTTGATCTGATCTATATATTCCCTTATAAAGTGGTATTGAAAGTGAGAAAAACACAAAAAGAACAAGAACCAGCTGTGCTAGGGAGCCTGTTTAAAGAGTCGGTCTAAGTTTTCAATCAGTTCTTAACCAAGCCATCTGTTTACTGCATGAAGATAAGTACAGTTACAAGGCTTCCTCTGCAAACATGGATGCCTGCATCTGACAACCTGGCCCTTTAAATTTAAAATATCACTTCCTCCCCATGGCCACTAACTGTAAATGGTCCTGTTTAAGCAAAAAGGACAAAAAAAGTACTGCATGGGATTGTGAAAAATATCCTCTACAGAGAAGGTCAGCACCACACCTTAGTAATGGATTGTTTCCATAACTTAAAGGAATAAAGAAATGACTTTTGCTAATATTAAAGACATTAAAAAAAAAAAAAAAAACAAACTTCCCAGGTTTGAAAAGATAATTTGTATTGTTTTAAATCCCAGCTGAGGAAACATGGCTCTGATTAACTCATGGCAATCAATTAGCCACATCTATATTTAGAAGGATACCCAACTCCAGCTGTTAAAACTAGGGTTTCGTTATTATTAATAAATCCATGAACCAGACCAATTCTTCCTGGGCTTATTAGGATATTTTTAAAAGTCCTCCCTCTCCCACTACCTTTTTTTTTTCAATTTGCTTTGCTTTGAGAAATCAAAAAGGAACAGGATAATCAGACGTCTTGGTCCCTCTCTTCCTTTAATTGGCTAGTTATAGTAGGTTTCCATGGTAAGAAAAAAACTTGTGATTCAACAAACACAGAGAGCCCATTGAGGCTGGAAGATGTTATAGGCTTTGCAAAGCACATCTGGTTTGTTGAAAATTTCCAGCTTTCTTTTTCCTTTTTTTTTTCTTGGTTTTTTTTTTCTTTTTTAAGAAAAAAGAGGAAAAAGAGGAAGAAGAAAGGAGAAAAATAATATGAGGCAAACATGAGAAATAGCTCAGCATTGGTAAGGACAGACAGTTCCCTTTTAGGAGTCCAAAAGCATTTTTTTGCCAGTGGAAGAACCAAAGCCATAGGTTGAGCAGAAGTTGGAATGGCATGTGTTCAAACATAGTAAGGGTGTGTGAGGAGAAGCTAGAGAAACGTTTCCTAAGCATGTTATAGTCATTAAAATAAAACATCTCTTTATGTCGAATGCTTTATGTTGGCTATGTCTAAAAAAGCGTGCAACAACTTCCAGACATATTGGTCTGTCTGTAGGGAGATTCTCTGGTTATTCTTAAAGCAAAAAAACGGTATTTTTCCTGCAAGTGCCTGATCAAGAAAAGTTGCATTGCTGTGCTGGAAATGTACCTCTTGCTGGTTTTTAACCCTTGTTTGACCTTGTAAAGAATCTGCACTGGCCTTTTGTCCTAGTGTGCCAAAAGAAAGGACCACCACCATCTATAACCAAACCAAAAGTGGGCAGTCTAAGGCAAAGACAGAATGAATTCACTTCCAGAAATGTGCACCTAACTACAATGAAGTCGAAAAATTTACCCAGTCATAAAGCAGAAGCCCCCAAACCATAGAAAATCAAGCTTTTCTCAGTAAATTTAGTGGGGGCACAGACTTTGAAATATTGGTTTTGTGATTTTAAAGCCAGCATGGTGTGAACATTGTTATGTTGGAAGCGGATTGAATCTTCTCAAGCAACATGAAAACAACGAAAAAATTAGGCACATTATTCTCCACAAAATTTCCTTACAACATTAACAAGTGTCAGACTGCCCAGCTTTGCCTTCAGAGTGCTGTAATAACTGCTGCCCCACTGGCATTTGCCAGGGCAGCTAGCTCTAGCTGACAGCCAGTAGCTCCTGGTGTTTGCAGCTGCAAGTCAGTATTACCAACATTATCTCCACAGCAAGGAAATGCTTTTGAATTACAGAATGACATTACTGCAGAGCAACTGGATGAGTGAGGAGTCTTACTGTTCAGATCCTCAGCCTGTATTTTGCCTATCCTTCAAAATCTAAGGCCTACCAATCCAACGGCACAGGTTTCATTAATAATGCAATAGGTCCTTAATGCTACAACGACTGACACCAGCGCTGGAAACAATTCAATCCAAAAGAAATAACGCATTTGCTACATAAAGCCAAGCACTTTTAACATGCCAGCCAACAAGGGCAGATTTGCCATTACATATCGTTTACTTTAGAACTTGCTCTTCTCTAAACATTTTCATATGCTTATGATCTTTTCATATAAATTCTTCCTCATTCTGATGAGAGATAGAGGGATTAGTGCCAGACTTCAATCATCAGCAAAGAACAAGCACCTTCTTAGTTGTACAAATCTGGTAACGGAGATGCAGACAGTGAAAGGACAAAATGATCACAGCAGCACCTGAAGAGTAACACGCACATGGTGCTGGCTGTGTAAAAAGGATCCAAGAACATTGGACAAACCATATATGTTTGGGATCTCTATCCTTGCAATGAAATACAAGCATTAACAGCGAAGCATAAGTGAAAAAGATCAGGTATTCAGGGTTACCAAACTACCCAGAGGTGCATCTTTAAAGGAAAGAAATGAAGCACAAGTGTCCCCAGCTGAATGAGCAGAGTAGGATGAAGTCAGAAGCAGAAGGTAAAAGATATGAGGTCACTATCACTAATCACCAAAGCACCTCTTTTTGAGAGATTGCTCAAAAGGCAGTCCCTTCAACACCACAGCACAGTGTGGTGTCCTGGTACAGACATTGCCATCGCAATTCTATGCTGCACATGGACAATGTTAAGGAAGATTAGCAAGAAGTGGGCAAGAGCATTGAACCTTCTTTTAATCCTAAAATATATTCTAAATGGCTATAGACCAGATTAGGAAAAGTAAGAAACTTCAGCCTAAACCACTTTCAGTGTCTACTACAGTTTTCACTACAGTCCCAGCATCTGAAATTGCTGCTTCCATTTTGATTCAGGCTTTTGACTGAGCCAGTGAAACCCCAAACACTTCAAAAGGTATTCTTACCTTGTCTCTAGCCTCGTTGAGAAGGTCTTCTAACTCCGAGAAGCTGAAGCTGGCCACAGTGATGAAATCGCTCATGACAGGAACAAACCTGTCCCCTGATTCCCGCATGCGTCTCTTCTGATAATCCAGTTCCTGAAAGAAAAGAAGTAAGAGATATAGACAGGCAAGAGTCAAAGATTCCTCACTGACAAGGCAGGGAGCAGGGAAGCCCACCTGCTTCACTCAGTGCAGAGCATGCTCTGCTCCCACTCCTCATGCATTTATCCAGAGCTGTAACTCAGAAACCACTTTCTGACTAAGTCAAAGGTTTTGCCTTTTCAGCATGAGAGAGAGGGTTAAGGTGGCATGAAGGAAGGTCTTAGTTACAGTTCCCTTTATCCTCAAACAACAACCACTCCCAAGAAAGCCATCAACATGTTGAATTTCTAAAGCAACTTTAAGCATCAAGTACATGAAATGCTGCATTTTTTTTTCCTATGCAAAATGACAAATAATAGAGAACTTGGATTGTGTAGCAAGTGAATTTGAAATTTTTAATAGTGAGGTTCCCGCCATCTTCTCTTCCCATGGTGACTCAAAAGGGAGTGTGTACATTGGGGAAATGTGTACATGTGTGAATAATCTATATAGTTCCTAGCTCTGGATCTCCCCTTTAGTTTTCTGAAAAGCACCAGGTGAGCAGCAAAAAGACATCAAAATTGGTTCTCCCACTGAAGAACAAGCAGAAAGGTGTCAGGTGGAACGTTTGCTAGCACCCTGCTAACCAATAAACATTAGCTTGGATGTCATAAAAGTCACAGAGTTATAAACAGGGGCTATTGTGATAAAAAGATTTGGGGGGGGGGGGGGAAGACAAGACATAAAGTTATAGGAAACTAAGCTCTATTTGTCCACTGCCTACAGAAAGAAAAAAAAAAAATTGTAAGATTCTTTCTTTCTGGCTCAAGTTTTTTAGTTTTAAGCCAAGATTACCCTTGTTATCTCTTCACTTACTCTATTCACCATGCTTGTGGCACGGAAAGAGCTACAGAGCTCCTCAAAATGACTAAGTTGTAGTAAGACTGGCAGTCTCCCATGCCTGTGCTTGGCTTGTGTGCTGTTGACAGTCTCATGGGGACAACGAAATCGTAGTCTGGGCCTCATCTTTATTCTCAGCTGAATAATCAGTGGGAATGATAAAGCCTTACTTTCTCTGTATGGAAAGCAGCATGAAACAGCAGGTCAAGTTACAATCTGACCCTCTGTTCCCTTTGGAAAAAAATATTTTTGTGCTGGCTGCAACTCCAGCTACATGTGTGTTTGGTGCTCTCTGTTACTGGTCATCAACATACTGGTTCACAGAGCCAAATGGGTAGATTTATAAGCATCTATACTGACAAAATCCTTGGGATTTGCTCCACAGTGTCGCTGAATGCAAAGAATGACTTTGGCCATCAACAATCTAAAATCAGATATGATATATCTTCTGGTCTGATGTGAGTGGGAAAGAGAATGTAACCACTACAAGGGAAGACCACAAGGCAGAAAAGGGGCAGGAAAAGCAATGAGCAGATGGCTGGAGAAAAGTCCACAACAAAGAAGTGCTACTTCCCCTGCTTTATATTACATCTTCTTCTCCACTGGTTTTCCTAACACATCACAAGGGATAGTCCCAGGAACACTACTCAGTTACATCACTTTGCAATGAATTGTCTCTATGTTACAATCACTTTGAATTGGACCTTACAAGTACAGGAAATGTCACTTCACATGCTTCTAAGAATTATGCTTTTTTTTTTTCAGCCACTCTTTAATAATTTTTAAGCTAATTTTAGCTGAAAGTTGCTCTACTCCCTCCTGCCCCTGCTTCCCAGCAGGTGAATATAACAGTTCTGTCATCTTACTCACCGTTGAAAGCTATGGCATTTGGGACTGTTACTGGAGAGCAATGTTTTTCAAAGTAAAATTAAGATTAGGTGGTCTGCCCTTTAATTTCAAATTCAGTCCTTCCCTGCAGAATAATTCTTCCAAAATAAAAAAACCCACACAAGTAACCAGCATGACTATGTAATCAGCCTGAAAGCAATGCCAGAGAATAAGAAACTCCTCTGTATCTTCTAGAAATGGTCTATACTAGTCATAACAGCACAATAGCAGAAGCTAGCACTGCCCCTTGTGGGCTGGGCTGCTGGTTCTCTAGAGAGATGAAATGCTTCAACCATGGCAGTGGTTTCTCAAGCGGTGGTTATGATCTCCGTGCTGTGTGAGAGAAGGGCTCTGCTGACAGAATTCACTTCCTGATTTAGAGAAGACCAAGAACTACTTAGCTGTCCTTCTGGGAGCATCTGACACAGGCAACAGCTGCATGCATGTCTTGAAAACAAGTATGTCTTATTTTTACAAAGAAGTTGCAAGTCCAGGAAGGCAAAGTGTTAGCAGTACCTTTAAGAACATCTGACTGTGAAACTATTTTTAGCTTTCTATTCTTAAGGGGCCTTGAAGAAACTTCTCAGTCACTGGAGCCAAGGCTGTGGTGAGAACACACTGGAGTGGAATCAAGAATCACACCTTCCCCTCCTCCCCCTTCCACCTGACAGTGATCTTCTATTGTTGCTATAGTGCTGCTTTTTACACGCCAGAAAACCACGAATTGAACAAGCAGACTGGGAGGTGCTGGCAGCCCCAAATGAAAAATACCATGGCAGGGAGAAGACTGAAGAGAGAAGATGGTGATTGAATGGGAAGGAGAGGCTGCCCATGGAACCCATGTATGGGAAAAGAGAAGAAAATTTGGCTGTAAAGGCAAAAGGACAAATAACCTGATCACAGAAAGCAAAACAGAAGTAGGTACTCACATTTCAATGGGGGGACTTGTCTGTCCCAGCCAAAACTGGGCCTCTCTTCATGCCATGAAGTCCATGTCAGCCTTCCCTTTACAGGTGCTTTTAATTCCCAAACACTGCACTCCATGTATGCAGCAGTATCTCTTCTCATTGCTGCATTCTTCCTTACCCCAACAATCCAAAAATAAGGTTTGGAAAGTTTGTTTTTTCACAGGAGGATCACTGGCTAATTACATGATGAACTGCTGGAGACAGACAGACAGCTTGGGGGCTGCTGACAGGACAAAGATCCCTTCCTCTACCAAACTTAGGCCAGGTGAAAGGAAAATGAAGTCATCGTCTGTCTCATAGTGGATGAGAAGGACTGGAGGGTCCTGTGTTAGTTCCTTGTAGATAGGTAATGCTTGCACCGAAACCACCCAATGCAATTCCCAACAACTGGTCCCTTTGCCAGCGGTCCCAGTGCAGAATGCTCCCCATCTGGAATGCTCCACTAGCATTAAACTGACATGAATTGAAAAAGACAAGTGAAACATCCTGAAGATAGAGGGACACTGAGAAGTGTGGCTAATAAAACCCTGTCTGAAAGGGCAAAGAACAGCTAAACACGGCAGGGAGCTTCTTGAGTTCCGAAGACCTCTGGCCTTGTCTCTCAGCACTACCCTTGCCTCTTATCCAACAGGCAAGAGATGCCAGCACCAACCTGAACATAGGGGTTGGTTTGTTTCTATACTTGCAGAAAGAGAGAATGATGTTCTTAGGGTCAGAATATGTTTATCTGTGCAGATGATTGGTGTCGTGCTTTAACCCAGCAGGCAGCTAAACACCACACAGCCGTTCGCTCACTCCAAAACATAGCCCCATACTAGCTACTATGAAGAAAATTAATTCTATCCCAGTCAAAACCAGCACAATGGGAGACATTAAGGGACAGAGACAATAGAGTGACTTTAGCGTTTAATCTTTACTTTTTCAACTGCTGTGCAAACACTCAGTTGCTGTTCCTCATATCAGCCCTTGTGAGAAGTAGGTATTTGTAGCTGCCATTTCACAGAGAAGAGGCAAACACATGGAGTTGTTCAAAGCTACACACGTGTCAATGGCATAAGCAAGAGGCAAATATGAGAGTTCCTACCTCCTGCCACCAAACACAGTGTCTCGCTCTGTGCTCTCCTGCCTCAGGAAAGCTGGAGTCTTTCCCCAGGAACAAACCCAACATGTTAACTAAAGGAGGCTTCCAGGTAGGGGAACCATAGCTGACACATGAAGTTGTGACGCCAGGGAGTGTTTAGGCCCATCCCTCATCTTTAACTCTTATAATTCAGTACACACAACTGCATCAATGCACCATTTGTACTGTTCTCTGTTGAGACAGAAGGCTCTGCACTACCCAAGTACAAATTGAACACAGGCAACCTAAGTCCAGGCTTTCATTAATAACAGGAAAAAATGCCATTGTGGCTTTGCTTATCAGCTCAGCTCCCTCATCTTTAACTAGTCTATCTTTTCCTTTGCCTTCCCAAGGAGTGCTTAGGGTTGCAGATAACAGTGCACTACCTGTTTACTACTACTCCAAGAGCCATGTGAAACACTTGCTCAGCAGCCAGCCATTCCTCAGTAAGAAAGAGAAAGAATTTTATTTCTTCTTTCAGTCCATGCCATTTGTCAAACTGTCCTGTTACTTTCCAGGCTGAGATCAAACAAGCTTTTCATTAGGCTTAAGTCTGCTAAGATCATCAGCAGGAGCTCCACACGAGAAGCTTTTATTTGTTTTTTCTTGGTTAATGTGTTCTGGAACGGAATGGAAAGGAATGGAAAAAGAAAGCCCACTTTCTCTTATCATAAAATATATAGTGCCCCTGATTCTGAGCGAGATATTTTAAGTATGGTGCTTTGGAAACCTTCAGATACTTACAGCTTCAACAGCTTTCAATCCGGTCTTTATGTTGTTGACTTCCTTCTCCAGCTCTACCAGGCTGCACAGGAGACAGACACAGAGCAGATAAAACAAAAAGACCAGTGTTACACAGGAATACAGGAACTGTGCAGCAGATCAGACCATTGGCCCATCAAGTCTGGTATCCGGCCTCTGGCACCAGCCATGCCAGATGATTAGAAACGAGTGGAAGAGGGTCTGTGAATGCTCTGTGCTGCTTTTTGTATGAGATGTAAGATAAGGCAGACCCTGCTCGCCTGTGGTCACGTTGAAGATCGCGATTTTCCTGGGAAGAAGAGGGGGGTTGCCCTCAGAACATCTGCCCTGTGAGCTGAGCCCGATCCTCCAGCAAGAACCCTATGACACATGGCCAGCTTGCAATAATCAGCTGACACATAAGCAAGGATCCCAGCTTTAGCACATACATTACTGGGGTCTCAGATTATCTCTACATATGATTCTTGAACCACTTAACTAGTAAATCCCATTAGCAGTACATTTACTTGTGATTTTTGTCTTCCTCACAGTCCAAACATTGTTTTTTCCATCTGCATTTCTACCATATGGTAGTCCTTGCAAGCTTACATTATAACTGAGCATGTAACCCTACTGTTAATGTTAATACATGCTTCCCTAGACACAAGTGTTGTACTGAATTTCTGCTCATCATATACAAACAGAGTTTTTTTCTAGGAGTTGTATAAAAAAAAAACCTTTTCATTTCCAGGTAACTAGTTATTTATGAGTCAGCAGGCATCTCTTCCAACTATTTGGTGAGTAGTAGTTTACATCTCAAAAACACCACTAAAGCCTTAATAAATGCCTGTAAGTGTGAATATACATTTATTTTTTACTTGTCTTTCATTAGCTGGAGTAGTTTCCTATCCAAAGAATCATGGCTGGGCAAATAATATGCAAAGGTATTTTTGAGCAGTGCTTTGGAAATTAAAAAATGCTAGTATTTTGGGGGATGGCTTGTGTATTCATTTTCCACAAACATCTACAGAAATGGAAAAAAAAAAAAAATCATTGAAATTTGTGCAGAAAGTACACAAGATGCTTTCCACATTTCTGTGCAAGACTGTTTTGTGCAAAAGTTTGAACGACCTTCCTGAAAAGGGCTTACTATAGCCTCTGTGCCTAACTGACTCTGCCTTAGAAACAAACCTTCAATTATCTAGAAAAAATAGCACGTGACTTAGATGAACAACCATAGAATATGGTGAGCTAATTACAAACAACAACCAGTCTAGTTACAGTGTCTGATTCAGAAGTAAAGTAGATATAGGCATATCTGAGTAAAGCTGTCAATTTAGTTATCTACAAATGTTTTTGGACCAAAATTTTCTGTTGATGCACATCTGACTAATATCAAAGACGTGAGCAAAGGCATTTCAGCTGTAAGGCTGGCCATGAGTTTAGAAGACACGAATGAAAAAACTGAGGATCATTAAGTTAACAGAAATCACTGGGAACTCCAGCTCTGGGAGCAAGCAATAGCACTGGACTTACTTGACTTTTGCTGCTTCTGGAAGATGCTGCAACTCTGACTGAATATCTAGGATATCTGGATAATTCTTCTCAAAGATCATAATTAAGTAGTGCAACAGTGTAATGTTCCTAAAAAAAAAAACAAACCAAAAACAAAAGAAGGGAGAAATGAGAAGGAAGATGGTGGTGAGAAGGAGAAGGATGGTGGGAGGATTGTGACAAATCAGTGAAAAATATTTGGGTAGGAAATGTGCTTGAATGAACAAAACAAACAATATATCAGCAGTTAGCAACTCTGTTATCGGAAGAAAAGTATCACAAACTGAAATGAATTAGTCCTTTATGAACCATCCTTCCTAAAACCTCAAGCAATATATTGTGCCTTGATTTATTCTGGAAGCACCAGCATGCTTCCATCCATCTGTGTAGATGGTGTAACAGAAAAGAAAATTGTGTAACACAGTATATTATTTGTCCCCAGATACTTCAGAGAATAAACAACTAATAGTACCAAAGTGACATTAACTTGTAAGGGAGAAGTGAGTTGTTCTCAGAGGCAATGTGGAAAAAACCTAAGAGTTAACTAAGAAGAGGAAAAGGTTCTTGAAAATTGAAGAAGCTGCAAAGAAAACTCCTACAGCAATGATACAGCTATACTTATAAGTAGTGGTCAGGCTCACTACTACAAAAGCAATGGCAGCTCAAGTAGAAGTGGATAGAAACGAGATGTGTGAGCGATGCAGAAGACGGTTTAAGAAAATTTCTAAAGTAAATGATGAATTTTGCATCACTAATTTTGCATGTAGAGAGAACAGCCAGCCATAACAGCTACTTGATGTGGGTGTTATGTCGTTAACTGACAGGCAAGACAGCAGATGGCCTCTGCTTCACACAGACTAGAGCCTGGGAGCTGGGAACTGGTGAGAGAACAGAATCTGCACAGGACATTTAGTATATGGAAAATCAAGCCAAGCTACATTAAGGCAAAAAAATGTTCAACACTAGCTACACAAGTGTTAGCCTTGGAATACGGAAAGGACACCGTGGTAGTCAAAACAGAACTCTGTTAGTTCAAACTCTATTAGTAGGGATGAATTTCCTATGGCTTCTTACTGCCATTATTCATCCTGTCACAGCCTGAAATCATTTCACCACAACTATGGTCTCAGCAGGTCTCACAAGTCAAAGAAGGTGCAAATTAGTAAGAACCAGGATAGGAGATCTCCAAGGAAAACCTTAGTGCTGTTGGAGCCCAGAAGTGGTATTCTCTCCCCAGTCACAGCTTATTAATTTCCAGAACCAGTATGGGGATGTGGGGCAAAACATGGGGTAGCTCTATAAAGACCTGCAGCCCATGTCCATAAATAGGAAGCTCCACGTTTCAAAACAAGCTATTTTCCTTAACTGCTCTAGATACAACCAGGCTCAATCTTTCTGAGGTATGCCTTGTGGTTCCATTACTGGTGTAGGTAGAGAGCCAGTTTATGACAGTCCTGCATCAGAAACATATGCCCTGTTTCACAGGAGACATAAAACTGCGGTCAGAATTTTTTGTGTTTTCTTTTTTGCAAAACCATGGCCATAAAACTTTGGTATAAAGGGCAAATTCCATAGAAATTCTCCTCCCTCCCAAACTTATTTCAGTTATTTGTGAACTATTACATTTTGTCATCTTTGCATAGTGTTGCAGAAACACAACCCAACAACAGGTGTGCATTATCCAAAGAAAGAGCAGAATTTGAGAGCTGTGTTAATAGCTGGTCTTAACTGCTGCAGGATCTTTTAGAGTGAAAAGCACTACTTAAATGCCAAATAAGACATTATTTTAAATGGTCTACATAGTTAAAAACAAACAAAAACACTTTCATTACTATGATAAGAGATGCAGCAGCACAGTAACTAACTCACGGCCTTCTAGCCTACCTGTCTATGCTGGATTTGGTGTCTGCAATTTTGTTCAGGCTGGAGACTTTGAAGCCATACGCACTTCCCCTTTGGCCCTTGTTCATATAATTCCCAAAGGCCAGAACTACCTCCAGGAGTTGCCTCAAACGCTTGCTTCGGATGAGTTCTTTGGATGCCAGAAGAATGGCTTGAAAAGAGAAAAAAAATCAACAGGTTATTGTACAGTGGCTATTTTTAACATGCTTGGGCCCATAATTTGAAGTACCCTAAAATGCCCATCTGACTATTGCCCAGCAAATGCTGCAACACAGTCTGTGTGTGTACTGTCCTTCCTGCACCCACATGCCCAGAACCAGGACAACTGGAAGGAAGGTGCACTACATCTAGCCTGGAGGATGCTCTTCTGAATGCAGGAGCAAGGCTGTTCTCCTGGACCTCGCACTCTAAAAACATAGCCAGCGAGAACAGGGGGAAGGCTTGAGCTCATCTGAAAATGCAGAATAGAATACACTCACCTCTTCTCTGCAATAACCATGGATGTGGCACAGAAGCTATACACCCCCCCTCCTTCTAAGTTACACATTCCCAGAATACCACCGTCCTGAGGCATCTGTTCTAACTGCCCCATGGAGAGGGAAGGTGCAAGGACTTGGGGGTGAGACGGGAAGGCTGACCTGCACAGAAAGGCCATAAAACCTTTTGGCAGCTCAGCACAGCCTGATAGCACACTGTCACATCTGTCAGGGCATATTTACAGTGTAACAATCATGAAACTGACTTTATTAAGTCAATGGGTGCAAGAAGAGTGTCAGACAGAATTAATTTCTTAGCGCATGACATGCCGTGGACTTACTGGCTCTACAACCATAGCACGCATGTAACAGCACCTACTTCGAAGACAAGCCTCCCTTGACCTTCCCCGCCCCTTTACCCAACTCTTAGCAAAAGGTTTAACCATACCTTCCACTTTTGGCTTTGCTTCTGCCAGCCTCTCTGGAAACTTCTTCTTAAAGAATAATGCTTGCAGCCGCTGCTGATAGTGGTCAATCCTGTATGAAGGGTAGAGGAAAGCTAACACTGAACTGGAACTGTATTTTGAAGCCCAGGGCCAGTATGCTGCCTACATAATTTAATGGTTGGATGTTGAGTCCCACAAAGCCTATGCATGGGATTACAAACATAGTTCAGACATCTAGCACTACATAATCAACCTTGTTATGAAAATGGAGGACCTCAAGGCATGTTTTCATCACAACTGAAAAGGAGCTGGAAGAATTGCCATTACTCTCAAAATATGAGAGTCACGGGAGATGCCAACTGCATCTCAATTAGCAGAACAAAATGTTAATCCTGATTGGGGGTGTAGCAAAGTTGGAATAAGAAAGAAGGTCAGAGGATGAGGAGATGGAATAGCTGAATGGAAAAAGGGATCTATATGAAATCCTGACCCCTGGCTACACTACATCTGATAGTTGGATCTGAATTCCTTTTTGTGTGAACAAGTTTAGGCAGAGGAGGCAGATTTCTGCTTGTCATCAGGGGACTGGTCCTTAAATGGCAGCATGGAGAGTGCTTATCGTCAATAAAAAGTTTGTGTAATGAACTGAAACATTTGTAACATTTGTGGGCTTCTGGCAAATGCAGGGTATAATGCTGGCCCACAATCTCTTGCACATTCCCCCTCAGTGCCAGATGATCCATTTTCAATAACAATTACAGCTGCTTCCAAGAAGCCCTCCGTGCACTTTCCCATAATGTATCAAACAGACCTGCTCATTTCAAAGAGGAAACGATCCGCCCGGGCCATACGCTCAATTTCGTGTTTATGCTCCTCCAACAGGTCGGTATCGCTCTTTTCAGGAACGAACTTCAGCAGCTAGAGTAACAGACACAAACCAAACACCGAGATGAGAGATCCCGGGAAAAGGAGAGAGGGACGGAGAGGCGCAAACAAAGCCTGATGGAGAGAGAGAGGGCCCTCAGATTTCTTTGCTACCGTGGGGAAGCATTACATGACTCAACCGTGAGACCGTAACTTCAGAAAAGTGCAGCTGTGGCTACAAAACTGACCTTTTTTAAACCTTTGCTTGCTGTTCTGTCTTTATCCCTCACTGACCCCATTAGATTGACTTTTAATTCCAAGGGGGAATTTCCCATTTCTAAATCCTAAAGGCCAAGTGTTACTGCAACTTACTCAAGGGGAAGTACAGAGGGAACTTTGATTCCCACAGCATTTCTTGGAGTTTAGATTGGTGCAAACAGGAGCAGGATGTGTCCCACTCAGTGTGAAGTACCCATCGTGCCTACTCTAGACTACACACAAAGCCTCGTCTATCTCTCTCTTGGGTCTGCCCCGCTCTGCTGAAACAATAAACAATAACTAAGCGACTGGATGGATACGTGTCTGACACTGGCTGCTATTCATATGCTGACCTTAAAGCTCATACTTTGATGGATTTTTGACATATCTGGTGGTAGTTGTGCTTTAGTATGGTGATAAATATTGCCATGCACACAGCCTCAGCGCACACCCACAAAAACTGCTCACAAGGCATATCAAGCACTTTAGTTTTTACCACTTTTTAATATTTTATCCCACTCCCCAAAAATGCAATATTCAAAGGTATGGAGCATCAGAAGCTTGCAGTGACTTCTAGAGCTGCTATGAGCATTCAGATAACATGACAAGTAGGCTATAAATTTCCAAAATGGAAAAGTTTTTTGTACACGATTAAATACTGTGACTGCACACAAAGAAGGAATCACATTTGTCAAGCAGTTCAGAATTATAACATTTTGCACACTCCTAAGGAACTTTATCATATGCATCTTTGGTCAAAGCATCATCTTTCACCCTCTATAAGTGGGGGAAATTGGGCAATAGTGGTTTAATTGTTTTGGTTCTTTTTTCCCCCCACAAGCTATGCAGTGAACCAACTGCAGGGCACAAAAGTCCCTGACTCCTTTTCTAACCATTCGAGTTAGAATGCAAAATCCCTTCTAGTATAATGATTGACCTACATGGCCTGATTCATGGCATTTGCCAATGGAAAAGCTGCAGGCAGAGAAGACAGTTTAAGAAAAAGGAAAAGGAAAAGGAAATGGAAAAGGAAACAGAAATGAAAGGAAACAGGAAAGGGGAAAGGGAGGAACAGCAACAACAAAACATAATCAGCAGGATAGGGAAGAGGTGGGAAAAATTATGGGAAAGTCACAGGTGAGAAGAGAGGACATGAAAGGAAACCTCATGCCAACTGCAATCATGCGTATTTTGCATCAAGAAGAGAAAACTCTTATGAAATCAACCTGATATAAATAGAGTTACATGAGGGAGGTATATCTGACAACATTGGAAAAAATACTTTTCTCATGTTCCCATGTGCAGCTCCACTGACACGATAGGGCCAAGTTCAGATCTGCAGACATACCAGCAGAGCCAGTACATATATCCACTTACTTTAGGTGAAAAAAAGGCAGTGAAGGACTTAAGAATAAGATATATCTGACTGTAATCTTTCTTACCTGCTCAAGCATATCTTTCGCTAGGTCTTCTTGTTCATCCATCTTCAGGATTGCTTGTCTGATTTCTTCATTAGACAGCTTCAGCCTTTCAACAGGATCAACATTGTACCATTAGCACAAAGCTTAAGTGACTCTGACAATTCAGAAAGTAGGAAGCCTGAAAAGCTGCTCTAAAAGTCACAAAAGAACCATGGGAAGCTCCACTATGAAGCTGCTATTCTAGAGCATTCAGTAAGATGAATGAATCAGTTCCAAAGGCAGAGATTTTCTAGATCATATATTTTTATCCTCTTCAGCTAATCAAACATACATCAGAAATTAGATGGTGATTAAGAACAATCAGGACCTCTGTCCTGGTTTCGGCTCGGATGGAGTTGATTTTCTTCCTATTAAGTGGTACAGTGCTGTGTTTTGAATGTAGTACGAGAATAATGTTGATAACACACTGATGTTTTAGTTGTTGCTAAGTAATGTTTACATAGTCAAGGACTTTTCATCTTCCCGTGCCCTGCCAGGTGTGCAGGGGGCTGGGAGGGAGCGTGGCCGGGACGGCTGGCCCAGCTGGCCAATGGGCTATTCCATACCATATGATGTCATGCTCAGCATATAAGGCTGGGCGAAGAACAAGAAGGGGGGAATGTTCGGCGTGATGGCCTTTGTCTTCCCAAGTAACCGTTACGCGTGATGGAGCCCTGCTTTCCTGGGGATGGCTGAACACCTGCCTGCCGATGGGAAGTAGTGAATGAATTCCTTGTTTTGCCTTGCTTGCGCGCACGGCTTTTGCTTTCCCTATTAAACTGTCTTTATCTGAACCCACGAGTTTTCTCACTTTTACCCTTCTGATTCTCTCCCCCATCCCACCGGGGGGAGTGAACGAGCGGCTGCATGGTGCTCTGTTTTCAGCTGGGGTTAAACCACGACAACCTCACAGATCAAAAGTGCTTCCAACTTCACCCATATCAAATACCTCCCTCATCAAGTTCTTTTGCTACAGTAAAACCCCTCAAATCCATGTGACTTGTAAGTGACTGTGAGCCCATGTTATATTTCTGCTTGTGCACATTAAAGGATCTCCCAGAGTAACAAGGAATAGGTCTGATCTTTCCATTACAGATCTGAGAAAAGGGTTTCTTGTAAGAAGACTGGTTGTGCTAGGTAAGTTCACTCTGTCAGCAGTTACAGCTGAAGAAAGAATTGACAGCATCTAGGTATCTGTGTTTCGTGTCCAATATGAAAAAAGCTCTGAAAACAAGAGCTTATTAATATTATCTGAGGTATTAAAATTACACTCTCCTTCCTACCTACTCCTGTCCATTTGTGTGCAATGAGTAGGGATCATCAGTTACAACAAAACACAGAATCAATAAGAAAAACCCTCAAGGTCTCCACCTGAAATCCAGGGCAGACCAGAAGCAGTCAAAATTGGTGATTATTGAGAGGCTGTTTGATAGATTACATGAAATGAACTTGGTGGCTCTCAGCGCAGATGTCAATGAACAAATGTGCAAGTGACAAATTCTACCCCATCATCCCCAACCCATGACACCCTCATCAGTCATTTCAGAAGAGTAGGGGAGGACCAAATGAACCATAAAGGAAACGCTATCCATGAGAAAATCTCAATTTGGGGACTGATAGCAGGGAAGTGTGAAAAGAAGTACTTGAGGAGTGAAGTCTGCAGTCTCCATGGACCTTCTACAATCAATATAATTAATTAACAGCAGAAAGAGAAAATGCAAATATAAATAAGAGACAGGCTGATGCATGAGGCAGAATGTTTTTGTGTTCAGTGCTAAGAAATTCCATGTCGAAATTTCACGTTGCTATTGCCATTTGGATAGAATCATATTTTTGGAACTATGTAAAAGCAAAAGAAAGAGCTTTATTTTTGCAGACAGGAAATATTACTAAATCTAAGAAACTTAAAACATTTTAATATTGCCCAATATAACCAACAGCTGGAAACTAAAATATGAATCAGACATTCAAAAGCTTTTAAATATTACACCTCTGAACTAATTGCTCTCACTCTGTTCCTAGCTTGTCACTGTGTCTGCTTTTGACAAGGAGGGCAAACTGATACCAGCCAAGTAAGGTAAGGCTACGGAATTTCCAGAAAAGCTACATAATTAGGCCATGATTGCATGAGATAGAAGGACTAGAAATTTTACAATGAAAAGGCTGGAAGCTTTTTACTTTAGGTCATCAGTTTGACTCGGGATCAAAACAACAAACCTCAGTACATGGGCTTCTGCATAAAGCTCTACAGCCTCAGTCAGGAAACTGAAGGGTTTCTTTTGGCTTTACGAATCATGAATTGTAAAGTCCATGGTTGTGTGACCCTGAACTGATCAAACCCTGTGACCACGTGAGGGCTGAGCAGCATATTGGTGAGTGTGGTTCTGGCTCCTAGCAGACGCATATATACGTGCCCAGAGAATTTGGTGCCTGCAGCTTTTGAAGTGCCACATTTTGTTGATTGTTTTTCCTTTAGAGAGCACCTTTACATTTTCTAGAATCTGGAGTCCGCAGATCAGCTGTGTCTTGTGACACAGGCACACAGTCTGTCAGAGGGGATGCAATAAGCCAACTCATGAACACCAGGGTGGATTTTTTTTTGTTGCTACTTTCACTGAAGATAAAAAGAATGAGAGCGAGTTCCGTAGTTTTTTCCATGCAAATAACTCGAGCAACTACTACACTGACCACCCCATTACACAGTGCGTGTCCTTCTGTGTGTGTTTGGGGATGCAGTAAATAGGACCAAATAGACAGGTTTGAGGTACGTCAACACAACGGAAGGTGTAGCACATATTATTGCTGATCTTGCTGTTCTGTGCAGGAGCCTGAGGACTTCAGACTCCAAGCTTCTCTGTTTGCTGCCATTCATCAGCACTAAATACACTTGAAAACATCTTCTGTTCAAAAATAATTGAGACCCCCAAGGACAGACACTTATACAAACACTTTGATTTCTTGGATGATTCTGTGCCGTGCCATCAGCAGAAAAACATCTGGTTTGAATGGTTTAGCCCACAGTAGAGAGAAGCAGAAAGCTTGCCAGCCCCCTGCCGAGAAGCAGTTTAATTTAGTCACTTACAGGTCTGTAACAAGGTCACAGTGCCTGCAGGTGTGCATCCTAGATTATTACCAATCCAATTACAGAAGGATTTACAACAAAACAATCTTACTCTTCCAAAATGGGCTTGTTCCTCTTCTGGGGCAGGACACATTTCAAGAGCTGTAAGCATCAACAGCACAAAACAGGGATCCTCCCACTTAAAAAACTGGCTGAATAACTGGCCAAGGAATTGTTAATCAAGTGATTCTTCTCGTATTTTCAAAACTCATGCCCAGCCATGCAGTAGATCTTAAAGATGGCCAGCAATAATGTGAAACAGATGTGCTGCTTTTAAACAGAAACAGGTGAACTGATTAAAGAGGAACCTAAAGCAGATGCGTAAAATCTTTCCATTTAGAACTGAATAGAGGCATCCCTCAGAACCTAAAACTCATATGGGACAGACAGCAAATTAAAGTGGAATTACGGCCCAAAAATTTACACTACAGAAATTACATTTCAGTATCTATTGGAAAGTCTGCAATGACTTTCTTACAAGCTTTGCAGATCCAGGCACTCTTCCTCCAGCTGCTGGAGACAACTCAATTCAGAACAGCATACAATTCAAGCTGTATTCTCTCTGACTTACACTTCACCAAATCATGGATCCTGGCATCAGAACTCAGGAAGTAACTGTGACCAGAAGAAAATACAGTGCCCGTTTCCTCAGCTGCAGCACATTCATTCATAGCACAGATATTGACTGGTTTTTTTTTTTTCAACAGCAGCCTGACACTGGTCAGATGAGGAAGGAAAAGGATCTTTACTGAGAATACTCCCTCCTTCTTCCCTCACCCATACATCTGATGGCAGCATACAGAAGTCCAACTGCTTGAGTCATCTTCAAGCAATGTTAAAGCTCAACAAGTACCAAATAACTTCTGATATGGTACTTAGCCTGCCTCCCTCTATCCCCTCTGGCTTCATAAATAATCTCTATTGACTCTGCAGAGTAATTCATCACTAATCTCCCCAGGACACCTCGGCTGATTTAACACCAGCTTCACTTGCAGACATCAAGTGGTTTATTGTTTCGTCCTCTTGGAGAAAGCCAGCAGCCTGACTCTGAACATGCCTGGGAGACATGTTGCAGTTTTACATCAACTTCCCTTACAGACATCCAGTGCTTGCTCATTTTTCCTCCTTAAATATACCCATTGATTTAACTCACAGTAACCTCCCCCCTTCATTCCTCCCTCCCATGGATCAAAGCAGAATACTTGTCACTCATTAACCATGTCCCCCTCAGAGGAAAAAGTGAGTTACTTCATGGGCTTGTTCCTTGGATCTTGCTTAGCTTTTGAGAAAGAAGCATGCTTGCCTACTACCAGAGAATCCGGAGTTTCGTTGCAGCTACATTAAGCTCCCATACCACAGGGATCACATTCCCACTCTTCCTTTTACCTTGGAGAAGAGGACTGATTATCATGTATTAAGGCCACTTCTACTTCAAACTGAACTGAACCACAGTGCTTCCAAAAGATGCCAGCAGTAGTAGCTGTGACAGTGAGAGGCACTGACTGACACATAGCTGCATCCTAAGACCAGTTTGTATAGCTCACCCAAATCTTAGCTTTTACTGACTGCAGACTTCTCCATCTCCACAACTCATTTCACACAGGCTACTAGTCAATTCACTCCCAAACTTTGTGACTGGGACATAAGCCTTCTCCAACTCCTGAGCTCTCCTAAGCTCTGTAAGGCTCTGTACAACTGCCAAGCTGCAGGCTGTTAAATAGCTATGTTTTGGGAATACTCATTGTCACTACCCCATAAAGGCAGGAAAAGGAGATATCTCCCTGCTTTCAGAAGCAGCATTCAGGAGTCAGGCTGGTCTAACTGCACGTTCACCCAGAAGACAGAAAGATGCAGGCACTCTTTTCACATTCTCTTATCTCACAGCTGCCAACTCATCTCATCTTAACATTTTGGGGACAACAGTTTGGACACTTTATCAGGTACATCTTACACCATTATATCAACATGTTGGGAAAAAATCCACCTTTTCAGTGCCTTTTCAGCACTTCACTGTGAAAGTATTCTGCCAAGTGCATAAAGAAACAGGCTTTTCTTTTCCTCCTTCAGCGAAAGCTCATGGGTGATCAAGCTACTTTGCATCCAAATACTCTCAATTTCCTACCAAGAAGGATCTGGGGATGGCCGTCTTTCTGAGCCAAGCAGAGCAAAGCAGGTCCAAACTTGGGAATCCCCAAATTACAGTGACATGATGAGGCAATGGTTCATCTTTTATCACAACCCTACCTACTGGTTCCTAGTTGTGATCTAAGACAGGATGGCACCTACTGACGTGTTCAGTTTAACCTTGGGGTTTATCATACTCAGATAGCAGGTAAAATCATTTATTGTGGACCTTAACTCAAAACCAGAAAATCTTTCCAGGAACCCAGGAGGCACTGTTTATTGTCTAGTGTTTTTCAAGACAGCACACTGAGGAACTGAACTGCTGAGTCCGATGAGCTGTTTCTGCATCAATATATGATCTGTACCCCAAAATATCATACTGCTTGGAATCTACCTTGAGGTAAGGGTGAACACTGCATTGTCACATGGCAGAAAGGCACAGGGGGACTGAGGGCACAGCAGAGGCAGTACATGGAGGCTGACATTGGCTGAATAGCTTGTCCTCTTAATGTCTGATCTGAAAGGGTTTAGAAGCGCTGAGGAGGCACATCTATGCGAGAGAAATACTCGGTCTCTCTAGTATTCTGGTTGGAAATGCTGCACATTTCTTTTCTTCTCCCTTATTGATAGATGTTTGAATCAGCAATCATGAAAGCCACAAACGTTTGGTAAAGCTGTTTGCTAGTATCTATCTACTGTCATATTCACATCTAAAAACTATTTTTGTGTAGTTAGATTCTCCCTTCTGCTATTACTGGTTTTATGACATTTTGCTAGCACTCCTACTGTTTCCAGCCCCTTGAGAGGGTTACTGCTGACCAGCTGGGCCACAGGAATAACAAACACATCTCAAAAGAACACTGATATAATGATTTTGCTGGAATTCATGCAAAATAACTTGCACAAAAAAGTTCCATAAGTATACTTTCAGCTGCCTTCTGAGCAACGTGTATCATAGAACTGGACCTCTCCAGAGCATTTCACAGAGCAAGACAGTAAGAGACACATGTCTTAGGCATGTTCTGCAAGGACCATTTAACATTTTGCAAGAACATTTAAAGATATGGTACAACAAAAACACTAGAGCAGCAAAAATACTACGTGTTACTTAAATAATGGAGGCAGGGAGAAGCCATACTGCTGAGAGAGGTCAGAGAAATTTCCAGCTGCTAGGTGAAAGCAGTGAAACACAGGGATCTGGGATGACTCTTCCAGACCACACAAGTCTGACAGTAAATTTCCAGCCTGGTAGAAACTGAAGACATCAGGAAATTCATGAGGGATAGCAGATTTCCAGTGTGACAGAAATAACTGTATGTTGGAAACACCATAAAGAAAGGCAGATTTCAAGCTGGTGGGTGCCCGGACTTACCACAGACAGATGGTTCCATGTCCTGGTTAAATTATGGCCTACTGGAAATACTGTGAGATAAACTGATCTTGCGCCTATTCAAACTTTTACAGTTGGCCTATGGGACAGAGCTTCGTTCTGGATCCATCAGACTCCATTAAACAAGGGCAATTACATCCTTCCACTGCAGGAAAACTGAAAGATGCTGCTATCAAGTAGTTGAAATAGAGCTTTTTTTTATGAAAAGAGAGATAAGAATGGGGAGGAAGGCTTATGACTCTATTAACTGTGAGCAACAATAAGCTAGCAAGTCAATTTTCATCTCTTTTCAGTCTACCATGCTCCAGTTTCTCTGCAAAAGAAAGCAAGAGACATCTATTTCTCACTCTAGCTAGGTTTTGGCTTGTTGGACCATATGAAATATGAGCTCTGCCTGACCCCTTCTAACACAGTGTTAGTAAAACAAAAACATTTGAGTAGTGGAGGGAAAGAAAACCCAACCCATGCAGCTATTTTACTTTAAAGGACACGACAGTTTAGTGTAAACAAAGGGGGAATAAACTACAGGGATATATGCACAGTAAGATTCAATTGGAAACAGCTGTTGGCAGATACTGTGGCAACCTGAAAGCTGAGGCTGCAGCTCAGGGTTGCACAAACTCTCTTTGTTTGTCACCAATTTTAAATCCCCTCTCATTGCACGTGTGGGCACACCCACATGCACACATGTAAGGTGCGCTGCAGGAGCAGCAAGGGCATGGCAGCAGCCAGGGATGAGTTGGCTGGGAGTGGCTCTCCTTCAGGGTTTAACCTAAAGGAGGAAAAGTGGGGTAATGAAAAAAACTGCAAAGGGGTCATAAAACTCTTTCAATTATTGTTTGCAGCCAATCTTCCCAATCGCTGTCTTTAATAATAGAACCACATAAGCATAAAAAGCAGAAAAAGGCAAGAATGTAGAGGTGCCACTTTAGTTCCCAAAGATTTTTGCTTTTCGAGTTGTCTTTAAAAGGGAAGTTTGGGGAGGAATAGCAATCCTGGACCAAGCTGTAAGGTATTTCTGATATCCTGGGTGTAACACTGTCTGTTACAAACATTAAATGATCTAAGCCAGTGATAGCCCTGGTGACTGGCATTTCCCAAAGCGCAGCACAGTGAAGTCAACAGGGCACAACACAAACTGGCAGGCTCCTTAGGGACAGTGAACTCAGCCTCCAAATCTCTGTCATCCATTTAGGCCTGCTAAGAATAAGATCAGGATATTTCCTGATCTAGTGGGGAAGTTGGCAGTCACAAAACACAGCTTTTCACCTCTGGTTTGAGTCCAGACTAGCAATTTGAGGTGGACTGGTTTCATGGCACACCTGGAGTGAACACATGCTGTGGACCCTGAAGTGCAAGGTTCATGTTTCAATGCCACTTTGCTGGAGGCAGCAAAAGGGAAGACAAACTACAGAGACTATCCTTTCTCTCTCTCACTGTTTAGAGAGGATTCCTCTCAGGTAAGAATGGGCCAGACTTGCATGGCAGAAGAGGTGAATGGTGAAAAACATGTACTGCTGTCATCCACACTGCTTTTGTTTTGGGGATAGAAAGTGTTTACAAATAAACGTCTAGTGTCATACCAAGTCATGGACTGCCTTCCTGGATCCTACTCAGCCCAGCCACCTGCACACATTATGTTACCACTTCTAGGAAATGTTCCATGTGCTTACATGAGTTAATCTGAACCCCAGACACACTTTAGCAGGTCTGTCAAACAGCATGAAAATCCTGTTGCACCTATTGCCTCCCCATCCCTCTGCCCCAGCTTGCAGTCAGCTGCCAACACCAGCAAAGACATGCGTTGGCAACTGCTGCAGAGAGAGAAATGTAAGCCTTCCCTCATTGCTGGTTTGGATGGGGGGGGTCCTGCTGACATGCAGGCTAATACCACATAAGTAGCATAATGAGAGCCTCCATGGGTTTCACTAAGCAATGGAGAGAACTCACTCCAGTCCTGGTGGTCTGGCTGCAACTTTGTTTTTAACTGTTAGTTTGTTACAGCAGACAAGCAATCACATCCATACGAACCCACATTTTCTACTGATCAGTAGAAACAGTTTTATTGCTCAGTACTGCCACAGCTTTCCCAGGATCTGTCTCCAGCCCTGCTGTCCCTCCTCTGTCAGGACAGACAACTTTCTCAGGTGGATCAGTGCCTGCACAAATTTGATGTTTAGTGACAGACATCCAGCCCAGTACTCATGTTGGTAGAAAGGCATGTAAAGCATATAGAGCGACCTGATGTCACAGCATAGAAAGCATTAGAGTCATTGCAGGAGCATGCAAAGGCAACTCCTGGTATCCAAAACCTAATTTACAAATACAAGACCTAATTCCTGAATATCTCTTTTTACATTTACCACTCTTCTCACCAAGAGTCAAAAATGACAAAGATGAACACCACTCTCAGCTCTGCTTTTTTCCAGGGAGATGCTCAGGGCAACATTTAGAAAAAAACATACAGAACAGAAACAAATGACATACATAGAGCATGGGAGACACATCACTTACAGTGACATGCAAGCACTGCCAATGAGTTGCTTTCATCTACCTATGAGTACTGATAGTTTTTTGGTGATGAGTCTTCAGATACATCTTGATGTCTATGTCTATCTGTTTAATGCATAAAATGTGTGTATGCATATGCTGATTAAGTGAGCTAACACTTCAGACATGCTTTTATGATACTGCAAGAGAGGTTTCTCTGAAGCTCTGCAGGTATTACACAGCAGGTCTAGGTGAGAAAAGAAACATGCCCATTTGTTTAATTCCATCCCCTCTTGCCTCTACATTGACCACAGGATACCCTGTGAGCTAAGGCTTAGCACACTTACTTGGAAAGGAGAATGACACAATTCTGGGCCCTCCGGCCGTCAATCACAGAGAGCTCTTTCACCTTGCGTGTGGAGAGGTAAAGGTCTTCTGTTGAACCCATCTCTTTCTGCGTATAATTCAAAAAGGGGGGAACAATCAGTATATTTCTCACCCAAGACTGATAAACTTAGCTGAGTGCAATGAACAAAACCCATCCCAACCTGGCAAAATCCACCCCCATGGTGAGAAAAGGAGACAGGAAAAGCAGAAAACATGTAGGTAGATCCTGTATTACTAGAAAAACAGAAGTCATTCATTACCACCTGTAAGATCATCTTTGATTCCAAATACTGGACCTAATTCTGACCTATTGGACTCACCCTACCAACAGTTATGTTATTATTATTATGCTATTGTGCAAAACTGGCATGACAGGAAAATCGGGCACATTATGGTAACGCCCACTGGTGTCACAGCATATCCTTCAGCAGATGCCTTCTGCAGGGGTTACACAGCATTCTTGAAAGGCTGCAGCCCAATCAGGAAAAATCCTTCGATCATCTCTTCAGGCTACCACTGGACCAGTCCAATCCATATGATATGAGAGATGCAAACAGTAGGGCAAGATGGTGTTTATCTTACTAAATATATCTTAACTAAATGGTCAATATCTACATCTGAACAAGCCTCTCTTTTTTAAATTAATACCTTTAATCATACAGAAACCACCCTTTTTCAAAGTTCTCTGTATATCTCCATTGCCAAACTCATCACCTGGAAAAAAACTGGAAAATCCCCATCCAAAATGTTTGTCACAGTCTGACCATCCAGAATTCTCTGTCTCCTTGTCCTGCCTACCCACCAGAGCCATGGGATTTGTTTCACTTCCGGAGATTGGCTTTCTGTAGTTACTCTGGGTATCTTTTAACACCATTCCTTAAAGGGAAGTAGAGGTAATGATAAAAGGTATTAATCCTGGATAATAGCTCTCTAGTTACCAACAGATGAAATTGGAAACAGGACAGTTTTTATTTTCCCAGCTAACTGCTGCTGGAACCTCTTCAAAAATGCCTTTCCATGATATCCATATTGTCATGCCTTGAGATTTTGAGACTTACCAGTATAATCTAGCTTTGAATGGACCCATTAAATTAGCAATGTGACTTCTTTCTTTGGACATAACAGCAAGCATGCTGAGTCAGATCAAAAGGTCCATCTTCCCCAGTATCCTGTCCTGAGAGTGGTCAACAGCAGATACCCAGGGAAAGGTGTAAGATCACGGCAAACATACAGTCGTGCTTCCCAGAATTCAGTCCCAGGACTCAAGGTTCTGCAGCTCAGGGCTTACTTATAATCAGCATGACTAAGCCACTCCAAGAGATTTCGACACCCAAATATTTGAGAGTTAAATGTAAATTCATACTGCTAGTTGTCATTTGAGTTCTTGGTACAATCAGCTACAATGAGCCTGTATTGCTCCTGGATATACAAAGGATTCTTACAACCACGTCCAACTGCTGCAGTGAGCCACCACCAATACTAAGTGGCATTTATAAGCAGGTACAATGCACCAGCTGAAGACATGCATGCTGGATGTGCCCAAAGTGTCTAGCTTGGCAGAAAAAAATTGCAATGTTACTTGATGCATCAAATAGTGTTTCCAAAAAAAGGAAAAATTGGGCATTGGGCAAGTTTATTATTTCTGAGACAATAACTAACAATACCAAAAAGCAGGGCACCCCCAGTATAATCTGGCATGTAGAGAGGCTAAAATTTTCCTGAATTTCCTCGGTTTGTGGGGTGGAAGACAGGGGAACGGGGAGATAGACAGCTGTTGAAGGTAAGAAAGGTACTTGTTGGTACTTGTTGCTCTTCATTTAAAAGCTTCGCTGTGCCTCACTAGCTAATGTTTGCAGACAAACACACCTGGTTAGTGTTAACCAGCACCCATCCCAAGGAAAAAACCAAATTTTTTCAGGGTTTGGCTGTGTGTGTCGGGGGTAGGGATTTAGACAGCTCCCCTAAAGTCATGCGGCAAGGATTGGTATAATAGTCTCCATCCCATTTCCAATTCTCCAACCCACAAGGTTCAACACAGATTAATAACTTCAACTATTCAGACGTGGCCCACTCCTTGGTCATAAGGAGTGGGCTAGTCTCATCTAAAAATATATTCTCTTCAACTCATATTGAGGGGAGAAATATTTATAGATACTTGGAGTTCTATGTAAGCAAAAGCAGATGAAGCCTCAGGTTTTACTGAAGCCAAACTGCAAGCTTAGCTGAAGGAAAACAGATTGCATATGGACTATCTGCATTTTCTTAGACGCAGAAAAAGAGGAGCAAAGGGGCAGTAGTGACCAGTTTTTGTGAGACAGGCCAAGCATACAAAGCAAGAAAATTGGAGCTGTTATCAACCTGACAGACAAGATCCCTAAGTTTTATCCCATCATTCTTTACCAGCTTTTCATCTGGAATAACATTATGTTATGTGCTTCAAAGAGTATTTCAGATTTGAGATTTTAATTGCAAATTCAAAAATCAACTAAAATTTCAGTGCTGGGATGACTAGACATGTGGAATATGTTCATCATATTGCTGCCCTGTTTGATTTTGGTTAGCTGCAGAACTCATGGTCTGGTACCATGGCAGCATCCTAGGTTCCAGTAATTATCAATACTTTAGGGAACTATTTCTACCATATTGTCTTGTTTCATGGTGCATGCTGCCATGACGAAAGCCAGTAAATAGCCCAGAGCCATGTATTAGCTTCACCCAGTGGTAGAGGTCCTGACCAGACTTTCCAAATACAATTCCCTGAGCACTCATTGCGAGGACTACTTTCTTCTGAAGCCACCGGAGACACTTGTGATGACATCTGAACAACCCTTTTCTGAGAGCATTGCTCTTCCCAAAAGTGTTGCCAAGAATTTTGCTTAAGATGATGAATAAATTGAGAAGTAGCCAGTCTGAAGACATGTGGGCAGTCTGATACCTCTTCTTCATCTAAACACCATTTCAGTCTTTCGCTGAACTTTATGAGGGTTTCAGCAGTCTGAAATGAAGTAGTCTTTCCTCCAGTCTAACCCTTCTGCTCCTCAGCTGGCACAAATCCTTCTGCCCAACCAAAGTGCCTTCCGGTTCTACAGAAAGAAAGATTTTCTTTATCAGAAAGGCTGTGGCTAGTGAATACATCTGGAGACTTCAGTACTGTCCAAAGCAGATGGACCACAGATGGGAACAGTGGGAGTGAAGGCTCCCTTAGAGCCCCTTTTGTTCTCTACTAGAGAGGCTATTAGTTTGGTTAAGGAAGAGTTCACGTTCACATTCTACTTTGTCCCTGTTTTTTTCCCTCAGGATCATCAAAAAGGGGACTACAGACACCAGCAGAAACCACAGTGAAGTCATAGCTAACTGAAAGAACGGGAACTACTTCCTATCACAGAGCTAATACAACTAAAGAAATTTTTTGTACCACCTTCCCCACCCAGAAAGCAGAGGTGCAAGGGCACATTAAGGAGTAGCATGAGATGACTCATGACCCCATATTGGCATGGTGCAGGACTTCACCTTCCCACACACTGCATGAGGATCAGGAGGCAGACAATGATACTCACCTGCTTACAGGAGGAGGGGTTAGTTAGCAGGTCCTATGCAGGCAGCAGGCACAAATAACGAAGAAGGAAACATGCCAAAAATTAGTCACAGAGAAAGATATCAAGTTTAACAAGGCAGCTGAATTTAGACACACACTGTTTTCTAAGAGAATAAAATGCTTAGCAAGTAATACTGGCCCAGATGGTTTAAAGGTATTTCAGCATTTCTTTGCATATTTTAAATCAGCAGATGTTCGGAAACTAAGAGTTCTAGGTCTTTTCTGAAAAGAATAAATTCAGTCCCCAAAGCATAAATCTCTTAGGTCTTGAAACATTAACTAGGATAATGCTTAAATACCTTTACAAATCTAGTCTGGAGCCCTACTGAAAGAACTGCCAAGGTTAAAACTTGAGGGTCAGTTCTCCTCTCCTGATGCACAGGCACAGTTTGCCATTATTAGTAATATCTTGTTTCAACGGCACGTTATACCCTTTAACAACTTATAGCCAAGTATTTTGAAAGCACTCTGTAACCACTAAAGAAGCCTTACAGCACTACTGGGTGACAGACACCAACTATTTCACAACGTATTCCATATTCCAGGAAAACACCAGATATACTGAATCAAAAGGTTAATATTACACAGTAAGATTGGAGCAAGGTCAAAAGACAAGTGTAAGAATTCTTGGTCCAGCATTCTGTACACTGGACAGTTCTGCTTTCCCTCATAGCCACCAAAAATGATACATTGGGCTTGAGAGAGGAGAAGAGACCCTTTGTCATTAAAAAAAATGAAGAAGAGCTGTTTAATGTAAATGAAACTGGAAAAAATATGAAGATCATGTTAATAACAGCAAAGAAAGAAATGTCTTTATCTGTACTCATTCGACATTTCAGATGCACAAGAGCAGGGCTTTGCGTTGACATTTTTCTTTACAGACATTTGGACGAAGTTTAAAAGTCACAAACCCAGGGTGAACACATACTTGGCCAGAGTGGAGTATTTCCAAAAATAAAAGAGGAGAAAAGACTTAAGTGTGAATCAACTGGAAAAGTTCTCATAAGATTTTTATTCAAAAGCAATTTTGGTTGCCTGGTCTTTAAAAAAAAAAAAGGAAAATAAAATTGATGAGGACTTGTTGATTGGAATCCAGTTCACACTGGAGTGAGTATGGATGAAAAAGAAAGTATCACAAAGTAATAACAATGGAATATTTAAGGGGGAAAAAACCCCAACAAAACCCTCAATGAAAGCTGGAAGGGCAGCAATGCACCTAACTACATAAAAATATGTAGCTTACATAAGTGATACTCTAGTGTCTGGAGCCACTGTCATAAAGTGTGTTTAATGAGGATGGAAGAGAACTGTTCTGAGAACCATGGAGGTCACTCTGAGATGATGGCTCCATTCCAGTGGGCAGGGGTAAGGGTCAGGTTAGTTTACGGTTGAATAGGCCAGGCTGCTTTTTGGTGGTTGGTAACACAGCCATAAATATTATGATTCTAACTGAGAGTTGGCAGAACAGAACAGCTTTGGCTTTGGATTTTGGGGCCCAAAGGAAGCAAGGCTTTGCAAGGTCATTTCTAGCGAGAAAGCTGTAATGTTTGCACCCAAAACATTGGAGTGGCACCTTGATGCTGCAATGGCTACTCATGTGCACAGATGACAGTCTGCTACTTGCAAGACAATTGGGAGCTCACCACCATAGCTAAGCTGTTGGCACAGGGTCTAAATCCAATCTTGCAACAGCACTGAAGTTTTATGTGCCTTTCTTCCCCTCTGTGAACTAAGTTCTTATTTCAGGGAATGGGATTCACAGAAACAGAGAGGGATCCCCTGAAAAAGCAACAGCTATTTGCAGGAGCAGAATGAGAAATAAAATGTCATCATGCAACGGGTAACATCACATTCTTCACAGTTCAAGTTGGGATGCTTATCTAGGTGGCTGTGAGCTAGTAAATCAGAAGAGTTATTCATTATGTTTATTGGATTAAATAGAAAAATGAGAGAGAGAAGGGAACAGATGGAAAAGTCCAAAGACAAGGGGTTTGTTTGTCAATTTTAAGGTACTGAATAAGTTAATCATAATGACAATGAAGTAATCATCATCACTGTAAGACTTAATCATAAAGGCTGCTTATGGCAATCACATCTGCGTCTTTTCCTAAAACTCCAGAGCAATGATCCAATTCTGCAGAGTACAGAAGACTGAGTTTCTCCAAACATATTCCAAAAGCAAAGGAAAGCTGGGGGAGTTCAGGGAGTGCAAGTACAGTCCCTCTCTTGCTAAATCTCATTCAGCGGAGACAGACAGATTGAAGGTGACTGGCTCTCCAAGAAAAAGAGGAGGGAAAAAAAGACATTCTAATAAACGGCTGCTTTTAAAGTATGCTATTTGTGTTATAATCTGTAATTCAGACAGTTTCTGTCACCTAGCCAGCTGGGTCAGTTGGCTGTTTAAGAAAAAATAGACAAAGCGAAAGACAGCTAATTCAGTCATCTTGCTTTGTACTCAGGCAACTACAGACTTTTTATCTGGATGAATGGGAGAAATAGAAAGATGGATATCAAGCATGAATGCAAAGCTCAGGAGCTTTTGGAAGCCGGTGGCTGCTGAGACCAAATAGAGCATTACCTGTTGGGAGCTGTTGTCTCTGAGAGCTGCCCATTAGTATGAAGTATGTTGATAACAGAAGGTTATACTCTGCCCTATATATCCTGCCCACTTCTTTTGGTCTTGTGATTTTCTGAACAGTGACAGAGCAGCAAATGATACAGCTTGACTGCAGGTGGACAAGGGCCCAGATCACAGTCATGTGTTCTTTCCTCCTCCAGAAATTCAAGAAAGACAAGGTGTGGGGAAGGGTTCACCCCTACCTGGTGTCTCTGATACGCAGAGAACATCTTTTCAAAATCTTCTAGATCCAGCATCTTGAATGCCTTTAAATCATCGATCTCATTCCAGATTGTGCCATGGATCCTCTCCTGAAAGAAAAGGTCATATTTTAATGAGATAGCAAAAGCTTTTAGCTAAGAACATCCAATCCCATTTGGATAGATCATTCTCTCCTGCTCACTGGCCATGTTCCTATGTACTACTACTATCATTTTAGAGAGCACACTTTGTTTCAAGGGTCAAAGGAGAAAAAAACAGTGGTGTGGGTTTTGGGGTTTTTTGCGTTTTTTTAAATGTACTGAGTATTTTGTGTTTTTCATCACAACAAACCTTGATGAAAGGGCACATTCCAAGACTAGCAGACCACATGTCAAGCAATATCCATGATCCCACAGTACGTTTCCTTTCAAGAGTGGCCATCTGTCTAACACAATGATTGTGGTCATGCTGAAAGAAGTGTTACCATCATGAGGAAAAAGCTTAGGAAGGGCACTGATGCATGACAAACACCAGACACATCTTCCCTTCTGCAAATTTTGCCAGGTTCTGTTGTAAACCCCAAAGGGTATATGGTTTTCATTCTGCCTGCCTGTGAAAGTAGTTTAAGATTTTATTTTATTTTACTTTTAAGGCTCTGAGTCTTTGAAGTCTGATTGTTTCCTATGGCATGATCTCCCCCGTCTACATGAGTTCTTTGTTGACTCAGATAGACACAAACTATAGCCAGATCTCTGAAAGAGCATCATCCACATTAACTGGAAATTTTCACAACTCATGTGATACATTATCCCGAATGCCAGGGAATCCTAGCTGTCTGGTAGATGATTAGCATGGAGGGAGACAGGCACAGACTCCTCCAACTTTGCTGGTTTGCTCCACCAACCCTGGACCAAACAAGCTCTTGTAGTACACGAATTAGCTAATCAGCAGTCATCCTAAACTAGGAGAAGGCCTCGGGGTCTCCTGCTGACTTTTTCAGGGCAGATGTCCTTGCTGGCAAAGAGGACACAAAGATTGAACTACCTTCTCCTTCCTACTGACCGTTAAGGTGCATATTGTGTGGGACAAGCTTTGGGCAATTATCCATTCAGAAAAGGAAAACTTGCCCTTCACATCTGACAACACTGTCTTTCAGTTAATTTAGTTAATGAAGTGAACATTTATTATATTTATTAACTGGAAAAATAAGGAAGGTGTTGATTAAAAGAAAAAGGAAATGGACAGAAGGGATTGTAAAGAGACCTAAGCAAACCCCAGGAGATGAAGAGCCAGCAGAACACTGATGCAGAGAAAGCCAGGAACAGCAAGCAACAGGAATGAAACCCTCACACAGGCTCCAGCTCTGAAGTACCTGACTTGTACCTACACAGCAAAGTGTGTTAACACTTCATTATCAGAACTAATTAGGAACAGGCTCTACTTCCCATTCACAGTCATCAAAGGAATGAGGGAAATGTGCTAAGCCACAAGGCTCAAGGAGCAAGGAAAAACACCTGATGGGAGGATGAAATGAGAGGGAAATAGAAGTGTGAAGTGTTCTGGAGGAAATTCCTGGCAGGGCAGACACTGTGGAGGAAAACCAACACCCTCCCTCCAGAGGCAGCCTGTGAGTGCTTGAGGGCAGGGAGGGGTGTCTGCAGTGCTATTTACAGTGAGAGCATAGGCTAGATGGGAGCAGCACCCATCCCTGAACAGGCTCACCAATATGATGGTATCATTCCTTGCAATCTGTGTAGCTCTTCTTTCCATGGTAGGAAAAACATCATGACCCCGTGACTGTAACATGACAAACTAGTTTTGGAGGCTCATCTCAGCCAAAGGAATAGGAGACAAAGTTAATTTTCATTTTATTCTAACCCTGGACTCTACTGCCAATCTTAGTCAGAAGCATCCAGGCAGAGTGTTCATTCTCATTCAATTTCCAGGCTGGCTTTATAAACCTTGAATTATAAATCCCGAGGGATGTACTTGAACAGCAGAGCAGTTCTCCGAGTTCCTCACTGTTTCAGATTGTCCCATCAAACACTGAAATGGAAGAATATTTCTTGACAGGAGCCGGTGGACATGACTGCAGGAGCAGTCCTTAGAGTCATCATTGGGATAGAGCCCTGAGGATGCCAAAAAGCTATATGCTGTGTTTGGCAGAAGGCTGGATGTGACTCAAGAGACAGCTACTCATAAGAGTCTTGCCAATCTACCTGTCCGGCTGCAAAACTCTCATGGCAGTGAAGTTTCCCCACAAATGGCAAGAACAGTGAAAACGCGCTACAGAACGGGCTAGTCCGAATGAATTGCAGAGGTGCCAGAACAGGCAGTTCTGAGACTCACGAAGGGATTGCAGAGTAGTTCTCTTCCATACTTTCCCAGAAAAACAACCCAAGGAAGTGAAAATTATTCTCATTTCTGTTCAGATTCATTTAAAGACCCAGGTTGAATCTGGTCCTGTACAGAATGGTTTGTATGCTACTTGTAGCAGAAAGACAAATTCCAAAGCAGCACCCATTGCAATGGTGTGCACAAACAGAACTTTGACCCAAGCAGCCCAATTTCAGTTCTTAAAAAGCAAATGGGCTAATCCAGTCAAAGAAAAAACAAGGCAAGCAGAGGTATAAACAACCTTTGTTGCACAAAACACTTGCAATGGGGGTGTCTCTTCTACTCCTACCCTAAGTTCTGCCCTTGAAAACTTTCATGTTGCTGCCAGATAATTTCCTACACTAAGCTTTTGCTACTCAGTTATGGATTAACTGGCTGATAGTTCCTTGTCATCAGCCAGAGAGACTGACCGTTTTAAGAGAAACAGCCTTGCATAATGATGATTCCCTCAGCACCATAAAAAATATTTATGGTCCCTAAATAGCAATTTAAAAATAAAGTAAATTCTTTATTTCTTCTTTCCCTTTTTCTCTCTCCTTTAAAAAAAAAAAAAGTAAAAAAGAAAAAAAAGAGAGGTCACTTCATCTGTAACATGCTTTTCTCCCCATATTTATTCATTCATTCATTTATTCATTCATTCTACAAGTCTTCCAAGACCTGTGATTCCTCTTCTTTGCAAAGTCTTGGCCCCCTTTGAGAAGCAAATCCTATGAACTACATTTCCCAGCGTCCTCTAGTAAAATGGTAGTACATACTAGGTAAGGAAACTTCTTATTATCAGAACAAGTATTGACAAGGCATTTGCTCCATCAAGCTGAGTTTTTGGTATGTTGCATTTAAGAATTTGCTCGCTCCAGTTATGTCATTCCACCTTTGTAATGAAGCCAAATTTGCTGAGAGACCTACCAAGATTAGAGAATGACAGTGTTTCATGGAGCTACAAATCATATCAAGCTGTCCTCTGCTACATCTAAGAGATTATTTTATTTACCCTGAAAGATAAATAGTGATACTTGGCAAGCCACTAAAGTCCATCCTGCTTCAATAACCTCACAGCATGAGTGAAAACTTACAGTACTTTGGAAAAGCCTTTAATTTGTCCTGTGAATATTGGAGCAGGCAACCCTGTTTACCAGTAGGTTAATATTTGTAAAATATTAACCATCAAAAAGTGAAGCAACTTAAAATTTTAATTCATAATTCCATTATGAATCTGAAAAAGGAATATGAACAGAGTGTGTTTTTCAAATTTCTCTTTTGATATCAGATCCTTTCCTCAGTGTAAGAAAAATCCACTTTGAGCAAAAATTGTATTTCTGGCATGTTTGTTAATTGAGACAGATGTTTTATCTCACTGTAGGACTAGGCACCACCAAGGCTATTATGCATAGCTTCACACTGAGATTTTGTGGAAATCTTTCCATTAATTTTGAATCTCTGGCAGCAGTCCTGCATCATTGTTTGCCATGATCCTCAGGCTGCTTTTAGGAAGAAAGTTCCAGAAATCAGAATCATCAATAACATTATAGAAACTTTCTTTTTTTAAAAATTAGTGTCAAAATGAACATTTTCTGTTTACGTGACTGTTTTTTTGGGTTTTGGTTTTTTGGTTTTTTTTGGTTTTTTTTTTTAAATCCTATGTGGTATGTAGAACAAATACCTTTCTTCTGAGACAATTTCACCCAGGTCTATTTGGGGCTGGCTAAAGAAAGCCCCTTTCAGATCATTGACTAGAGTCATTAGCAGCCTGACTCTTATTGGGAAGTTGCTTCTCCAGGCATGAGATAACAAGCAGTGCAGTTGAAGGTTGACTTGATTTACTCTGATAACTTCAAATCAATATGTTTATGTTTATTAAAGAGGTAATTATATTAATCCATACTTCCAGTGTGCTTGAAACCAGTCCATCATTTGGATTAACCATAAATGTCTGGTCCCTGTTTGACCTTGGGTGTTGTGTAAAATTCAGAGTGGGAGAGCAAACTCCATTTGCTGTCCAGAAACAAAGAAAGGAATCTTTCCAGGACATTACAGTGGTTACACTGCAATATCTTTTTCTTAAAAAACAGAGATCCTTGGCACCAGCACTACTGTAGTGCTGTATGAATGGAATTCACAGACGATGCTACAGTGCTGTATGAATGGATCTGTGGTGTGGAAGGGCTTAGCCAGACCTCAGTCCATCCATGCATCTAAATGGCTTTGCCACTGATCGTCAGCTCACATCAAAGCTAGTAAAAAATCTTTAATTGTCAAAGGAAATTAGCGGGTTGTTGGAGTTTCCTTGTTAGAAGCACAAATACTTTCCAGTCAAACCTTTTTCGTGGTGCCCATGGGAACTGTGGACAATCTGTTATTGTCAACTGTTGAGAGTTTGAATATATTTGATCATTCTCCTAACACCCAACAGCTCAGTCCTTTCCTTCCAAAGACAATATCAGCATTGGGAAAGAAGGTGTCATATGAATTGCCCTGGAGAACAGCCTTGATTCCTCTACTGAGAAAGTGTATCGCAGACAAATCCCTTTTGGCCGGCCCTGTCTACACTCCTCTCAGGCTCTGTTGGCTTTCTCTCACCCCCTTGAGGCAGGCTGCATGGACAGAAAGGGGTTCACTCTCATGTGGGCTGCCTCAGTCCTGGCATCATCTTCACACTTAAGAAAGCTTAGGAGAGAGACTCTGTACTAACTGCTTCGAGAACAATGGTCTAAACAGTATGCAGAGATACCTAGGAAAAACATATTTGACCTGGCTGCAGCCCTGAGTTTGTGTACAGTTCCATTTCCAACGCTGTGTCACCGCACCTTGCTGTGTTGCATGGTGCAGACACGCCTGTGCTCTCTGCTAACTAGACCGGTCTTTTAAAAAAGAAAAACACATATATTGTGTCAGATGTATTCTTCTTCCACACGTTTTCTTTAACTGGAAGCTAAACACTGCCATGAACCACAATAATACTATGCACACTTCCAGGCCTCAGTTTCCCATGTTCAAAAACTCGAGATACGCTGCTCCCAGCCAGTATGGTTGTTGTGAGTCTTCATTCATTCATGTATGGCTACTTTGACAGTTCAGGAGAACACCACAAAAGTGCCTCAATGGTAACAAAAAGCAAGATGAGGCCATCCGGCCTACCTATGACTTTGCATTCAGAGGATTCACATCCATGTGAACATAGAGAAAGTGCCTGGTACTGATGCAGGGAATCTAGGATAACTGATGTAGATGGCCAAAACGTATTGCCTTCTCCAGCAGTCAGTGCAATTAAATAATTCCATAACAAAGTGCACCCCAAATAACAAGGCAAGCCACCTGCATCTGCACCACAACCTCTGCAGTTTTGCAGAGACCTTACTAGGTCAAAACACTAACACTGGCAAACACTCCAAAATGAAGCCCCCACCCTCTTATGCCCCTTTTCCCTATTCTGCCTTCTTCAAAATAGCATCTTTTACCCACCTCACCACCCAGGTCTTCAATTTTATTAGCACAGCTGCCTTCACTCCTAACCAGAGGGCAGGATAAGCCTACAGTTACTGTACACTAAACAGAAACACCTGTGACTCTCTCTTTTTCTTATACATTCATATATATACATATATTAGTTATTATTTCTTTTCTTCAGAGCACTAAGTCCCATGTTCTGCAAAGGAAAATAAATCCCCATCCTTACATTCTCTCCCACACCCCCCACGTGGCCTTGACAGACAAGCACAGACGGTGCAGCAAATATTTCACTTCACTTTATTTTAAAGAAAAAGGAGAAAGGGGGAGAGAGAATTCTTGTGGCATTCCAGAGGTCCCTGGACACTCATTCCAAATGCCGGAGTTGGGCCCTGGGTGAGTTTCAGTCTAAAAGAGAACCTGGGTTTCTAGGCAGCCGTCCAAACTCAACACAGACACTTTTTTTCTTTCTAAATCAGTTAAAAAAAATTAAGACCTAAAGAGAAGGGGGGGGGCGCGTGGGGAAGAGAGAAGGAAGAGAGAGAAGTGTAGGGGAAGGAGAGGCAACCAAGATAGCAGAAAATGAGTGCAACAGGAAGAATCTAAGTCCTCTATTTTTATTGCCAATTTGGAGTTTTATCGCCAAGAGACAGAGCTGTAAACATGCAAGGAGAAGGGCAGCTTCCCTCGTGGCCATGAACAAATGGTGAGGAGAATCAGGCCACCTTTCTCTCCTTGGTGATGGCTCCTGCCAGGGTAGAGGAGGCTGGTTTTGGAGCTGGTTCTCACCATGTTTTGCCCACATTGGCTCTGGCCATCCTTTTCCCTGATGCGCAAGCGAGGGCAACTCTGGCACACCAGTCCTGGAGATGTCCAGTTCTGGCTTATGTATTCAGTCTCACTACAGCTTTGCCTAACTGATAGCATGCCCAGATCTACTGCAGCTCAATCTATCCAGCACCTTGTTCATCACAGGAGATATGCTGCACTGCTGGAGAGCTGGGGAGCCTCCCCCAAGACAGTTACTGACTCCTACTGACCTCAGCCCAAGGAAAGCCACAATATCACTGGCTTCTGTCAACTTGCACTTCATGGCATTAATCAACACTGAATTATACTTAGAAAGCAAATTAATTGCTGAGAGTACTGCAATTTCTTACCTCACTCAGCTTAGCCCAGTTGAAGGATTTCAGTGGGTGTGAAGGCTGCGGGATAGATTTCTTCTTCAGGCTGGTGCCACTGCTGCTGAAGGTGGTTGTTGAAGGGGGTGGCATCCCCATGCTGAAGAAAGGTGGTGCTCCTGGTGGGGGAGGAGGTCCTCCTGGTGGGGGTGGTGGAGCAGGAGGAGGGGGACAGCTGGAGAAAGGCAGAGGAGGTGGCAGCGGGGGCAAATTCTCAGATGTGTGAGAAGAGGACAAAGCTAATGGGCCACCTGGAGG